GGGTTGAGTTCAGGGCTCTGTGCAGGCCAGTTAAACAAAACCAAACTCAGAAAAAAGCCTTTCTTTATAGACGTGGGCTTTTTGCACTGCGGCATTGTCACATTTAAACTGAAAATTAACTTCCCAAAGCTGTTGCCACAAAATTGGAAGCACACTGTTCTCTGAAATATCATTATCTGCTGTACATTAAGATTCCCTTTAAATAAAAAGAGGCCTACCACAAACCTGGATAAAATGCCTCAAAGTAAAAGTATGTGAAAGTATGTGGATGGGGGTGAGAGGAGATTGAAGAACTTGATATGAGTGAGTTCAGGCTTCTGTTTATCCATGAAGCACCCTTTATTATGAATTAATGACTAAGTTGGGGAGTATTGCCACGCTGGCACTGAGAGCTGTTATTTATTGTAATGGTGGATCATTATCTAACTGCATCATCTGTAACCAGCCAATGACAGGCCGCCTTAGTAATGAGTTTCTCAGTGAGACAAAGCAGGGGATTTTGGTATTTCTTTCCATATTTCCAAACAGCCCTCTCATTAGCATAATGTCTCATTAATTCTGGTTTTGGCCTTGGCACTGTCTAATTCTCACTTGACCCCATTTGAACTTGACTTCTTGAACTTGACTATGATAACAGCTAATGTTGTAAATCTGCAAGAACCGTATAATGTGGGGCACACTTGGAACCTCAGTGAGCTTCATCTCTTCTGCTGCAGAAGCATGGAAATACATCTCCAGGCTACATAAAATGGCAAATACACATCATTTGGATGTGGGCTACAGAGATTTTATGGATTATTGACAGGTTCTTTGCGGGCTGCATTAAACCCTTTTGCAGTACAGTGCTGCAGGGATGACATAGCTGAGTAGGCCAACCAGAGGTTAGCATCGCCATAGTTGTCGCTATAAAACGTAAACGGGACATTTCCATTGGATTTTGGATTATTGCAGAAAATAAGCTCCGTGGCAAACAAAAGTTTATGATGCTGGCATGTTTCGTTCACAAATTAACCCCACTTAAATTATGTTTAAAGCATAAATGCAATTGCCAGACGGGTATATGAGTGTGAGTTTGTATGTATATGAGTGTATGGGAGTGATTATTTCTGACTACTCCACAGGGTGCAGACAGGCACTAAAGAGAAGAATGTGCATGTAATTTGTTTCCCTTGTTTTGATGAGCTTCCAAGTAGATCTTTTAAATGGCAATTTATTTTTTTCCCAAAGTTTACTAAGATGTATCGAAAGCACAGAGAATGATACAGGTAGCCTTGAAGGAAATTTCAGATTGTTGGATGATTACACCTGAGCCCTTGGTTCAATCCTGTCTGCCGCTCGTAGCACTCGGAACGTGGGTGTGAGGCTGCGGAGACTTGTAATTTTAGAGTCTCTCTCTATAAATGTTTATATCAAATATTAAGTCAATTTCTATGCCGTGAAAGACGAGGAAACTTGTCTCTCCCCGGTACCAACAATGTGCCCTAATGTCCTTCCTAGTTGCCTAAAATATAATACCATCTGAACAAATTCACCACTGCAGGAGATAGCAGAGTTTCAGGAGCAGGACCACATCTCAATTATGTCTCTTCTTACATTACCATAGATACCCTCTTAACCCTCTCCTACCCTTTCGCTCTCGTATTCTACGCCCCCCACCCATTTTATATCTCTTATTTCTTACCCTCTGAAGGGTCATAGGGGGTCTGTCGAGTCCAGGTGAAATGGCGGATTTCCCAACAAAGATCACCCACTCCGCAGCGGCATCCAAGAAACAGATTCACGCATAATACTACAAGCATAATACATAATGTTTCGATAACAATAGAGAGTCCAGTGTAGTGTGTCTCTTCCTGCAGGACTTTGGGTTGCCATCTAAAGTAAGGAGTGACCATGGCATGGAAAATGTTGCCAAATTTATGCTGAACAAAAGAGGAGCATCATCACTGGTCGCAGTACACACAATCAGAGAATTGGCTCTCAGTGCCGGCGTGGCAATACTCCTCAACTTTGTGGGCAGAGCTAAATGGGGTTGTGGAATACCACTACAGTGATTAGTTCAACTTCATGGAAGAATAAGGCCTACCCATCTCCCTTCCTGAACTTTATTTTGTTATATCACGTTTACTTACTACGTGTTCAAAGATCAGTCCAAGAATTGAGAAACCAGTGGAATAACCATGGAGGTTGCAGTCTTTTGCAGTTGTGGCACACTGATATTGTTACTCACACACTGGATTTTAAGTTGATGAAAGCTTTGGAATTAATGAGGATAGACCTCTGCTGAACTACAAGCTAATAATAATGTTGTTCCTGAAAATAACTTGTGAATGACACAAACATAGAAGGGATACATCACTTTGTCGAGCCATTATTGGATGATGTAAATCATGGGATTGTTATTTTTGGCCCTCGTAAACATTTTGTTCAGCATATTTTGATTTGAGAAGTTAAAGAGAAGTGGGTTAAATTGAAGGGAAGACAAGAACAGTCACTTTTCCAAAACTGGTGGCACATAAATCCTTTGAATGAACTAATCTAATGAAAATAATCTCAAAACTAGGACTTGTAGTTGTTAATTCAATCCAATAGTCAACTAGTCATTGGACATTTATTATAATAATTTAATTATTTAAATATATATGACACATGTTAAATGATAAAGATAGAAGTGGTCATAAATCCTTGTGTGTCTGAACAATGTGTTCACATTTTTTCTGTTCTGTTTCCTTAAATATGAAAATAAGGAGATATTTCTTATCTGTGGATACTGTATGTGTACTTACATCTCCAATAAAAACATATTTATGAGAACAATGTGTTGGTTAATTTATTTAAACAGTGTAACATCACACATCTCACACACGGAATAAATAACTTCCAACTTAACAAAAACTTGCAGATTTATTGATACCATAGAAGTTGTATAACGTTACTTACAAATCAAATTGCTACAAACTTGCTCCTCTCCCTCTTCACGCCTTTACTATCCCTGCCTGAACCTAGTACTGGTCAAAGTCGCTGTAAAAGGCCTCCAATGGTGTCGGAGGCTGTGTTCGGTCCCGCCTGTGGTCCCTGGGAGGCTGCTGAGCCCGGCTCTGTTACCCGGTCACCTGGCTCTGGTTATGATGCTCATTCCGGTGGTGTACCTCCTCCCCGTACTTCGAGCTCGCAATCTGGGTACAGTCAGGGAATAGGTAACTAGCTAGTCGCAGCAGCTCATGAGCAGGTAGCACATGCTGTGTTACAAGAGAAAAGGTCTGTGTTGCAACAATCCCCTGATACTTTTGTCATTTAGTGTCCCAGTTTGACACTGTTTTTGTTTTTCTGTGAATATTCGACTAATGAAAAGTGCATCAACTATGACTCTTCTCGTCGTTTAACAGTTTACTCGACTATTAGGGGAACACCAATGGGCTTCATATCTTTGCATATAAATCTTGCAACTGGATGACTTCTTTCTCTTCTAGTTTTTGTGTTAATGCTTCTGGTGCCAATAAAGGTTCAAACAGGCTCCAAATGGAAGTAAAGGCTTTTCTCTCATCACAGTGAGAGCATTGATCCCACATGTAAAGTGCAAAACTGTTGGTTCACTGTCACACCCCTCTGTCCCTAATTATTCTAAGGAACTCCACCTCCTCTTCTGCCATCTTGTGTTCATTTTTAAAATTTCCTTGAGAGGATGTGATTAAGAATAAAGTGCAGTTGCTGATGGCAGGAATTAGTGGTGGTGATATAATGCAAAAATATGTCTGAAGCCGAGCCAATTTCAACTGCTTAGTATTCTGCTTTGCTCCTCACTTCACTACTACAGCTCACTTTGTGATAAGAGACCAGCTGACTGCTTAAAAACTGCCAAGATACCATGTTCTTTATTACAAGTGTAATGAGGATTGTCTAGGAAATGAGGCCCTGACCAACTGCTCAGCAAAATGATCACCAGTATTCTTTAATAGGAACAGTGTAATTACTTGGCCTGCAAAGAAAAAGGAGAGGTTGGCCGCACAATGAACTTTGCCAGCTCCCAAAAGTTTTTATTGATGCAAACATTTTGACCTACAAATAAACCAGCAAAGTTTTCATAGCAAGAGGTAGATGAGCGCTTTATGGGGTAAAATTGTATCTTAATTCATGTCAAAACTGTTACACAAGCCTGCAAATTCACCCGATTGATCCTAGCACCTGCTTCGTGGGGCTTGTTGGTCTAGGGTCTCACTTCAGGGGCGAGAGGTCACGGGTTCAAATCCTAGACAAACCCACAATTTGATGGCATTGAGTCTCAATATCCACTTTAAGCCAAATATACAACTATGATAATGCTACCTTTGTTAAGTGTTCGATATGCGTCTGTAAATCACAGATTACCACTAAACCTAATAATCTCTAGCGTGTTTATCACAAAGGAGCTGTTCCTCTTCTGGAACAACCACATCGGCTACAGAACTGGCAGTGAATTGCTTAGACAGATACAGCATGCTCTTGATTGATCAGTAAATGTCCTGCTAGCAAAGTGAGCCTTTTAGAAGAGAAGAATGTTTATGAATGAATCAATATCCCTACTGCCAATATCCTCCAAAGAGCATCAAAAATGCATAAATGTAGCCAGAAAAGACACCGATGTCGGGGTAATCTCAGCACACAAAACTACTCCAGATCCCATTTAATTTAGTGTCCAACTTAACTCTTAAAGCTGCTATAATCAATGTATTTTCTGTCAACATAAAATGAAATGAGTACATGGAAGTATAAAAGGAATCACTTATAATGCCGAACTCTAATTATCATGTGACCCTGGTGAACAGTGGAGCATTTAGAGGTGAAAGAGCATTTGTGAAGACCGATACAGAGCTACAACTCCAAAAGGAAGATAACATTGCTCCGTGTCTGCTGTGTAGTGTGTATTTATTCTCCCATAAAAAAAGCTTAAGTTGAAGACATGGAAAAGACCCTCTGGATTATAAGACCTCAGACATAATTAGGAGAAAATATCACTTTTTCAAAAATGTTGAAAAAATTTTTATTTAAAAAAAAAAGTATACACAATTTGGAACTCAAGGTTTCAGTCACAGAAATCAGTAAGATGATACAGAATCTTCATTATTTCATCATTGTATGCTGACATGGAGACTGAACAAGATCAATATGTCTTGATATTTGATACATCATCAACCCGCAGTCAGTACATGCTATCAGAGCCGGGCAGGATAATGAAAACGTCAGTAAATGTCACACAGTAAATTTGGGGTTTGGCCAGTCCAGCCATGTTGACTGATAGTAGGTATGGAAGCGGCAGTCCGAACAGAAAACAAACTACCAAAAGAAATAAATACCAGGGTCCATGCAGACCCGACTGTAGAGTGTTTCATGGTAACATTTGGACAAACAATCTGTGATGGCATGTTGTGGCGTTGTTGGAGGATGGATCTGGTCCAGGACTGAGGGTGGGGCTCTGTGTAGTCCAAGCAGACTGCTGTGGTGCCGTTTTAAAAAGTATTCCGTGCCTCTGTGGGTCGATGCTGCTGAGCCAGCTTACCGTAGCCGCCTCTGGCTGGGTCGTAGTCCTGCCTGTACTCATCTCTCACCTACACGACAAACAAAAAAACCCACACAGCCAACGCAGCCAGAAGGCACAGACACATCGCTCATTATTTTAGGCCTAAAGTTACATTCTGATAATAAGAAAAAAACAAACTTGTATGCATTTTCTACACAAAAAGCCAGTTCTTCAGTCATATATTTGTGTTCCCACAGAAAGCTCATTGTTTTTACCACTACAACAAAATTGGACATGATTATGTATGTTGTATTTGGTAAATGCCACGCTATAGTAATGCTGTCTCCTCAAAGGCCATGGTTAATCATGCATAATTTATTTTAGAAGTTATATCATTTTCTAAATATCATACTGATGTATTAAAATGTCATGATATACAGTATTGATTTTTTTAAAAGCCATTTCAGTGTGTCATTTTTCAAAGGCCATATTAAGCTGTGTTTTATATTGTTTTTTTTTTTAATATGCTGTATTGCGGAAAAGTCTAAACGTTTTCATGTGAAGGACTGAAAAGGTAAGAGACCCAGAACACCATGGTGACACACCCAGGGTCCGCAGTGACTTAGAATCAATCACTAGTTATTTGTTCCCTATTTTACTGGTCAACCTGGACCCCCTGTTGGTTCCTGGCCTCCTGAACTCTACATTTTATTCTGTCCAACAGGATGTGTCTGAGTTGCTTTTAATCTAAACTGGAGTTTAACTGATATGGATTTTTAAAAGTGCACAATAACCTTTTTTGGATCGAAGCTGCTGATATGCGATCTGTTTGAATATGATTTCATTTTTATGCCAAAATAAGCATTCACTTCAATTCCCATTGAAATGTGTCTTTGACTGAAAGGAAGAGTGTATTAAGCCCATGGGACATCAAAACTCTGAACTGATATACAGCATAATAACAAAGACAATATATTCCTTAATATGTTTGTGAATTGTAGCCCAACCAATTCTGTGTTTATTATCATCAATATTTAAAAATTCCAATAACAATATAGTTTTTCACATAAACACATAACCTAAACAATACAAATAATACAGACTGCTTACATTTCTATTTGTTTATGAAGGAACTGTGACCAGGATAGTAAAAAGCAGGAGTGTGCAGTTGGAAACTGAACTCTTCGGTGCTCTCTTGTGGAAAAACTATGTAATGGTGTAACGGTTTCTAAATGACCTCAAACCGAGTGGTACTTCTGTACTGCAATTCCTACATTACTTACTGGCTGCACACCAACAGTAATGCATCTTCCTTAAGATAATACTGGGTGATATACCCGCATGGCTGATTCATTGGTCTACTTAAGCTTTCTTTAGACGGTTAATGTGGTTCATCTAATCGCAGCGTGTCCATCCAGCTGGCCGGGACCCAGACTCAACCTTAACTCAGGGGCTCCTTAAGGACTTAACGACTCACTAAAAGTGCTGCGAGATTTGTTCATTAGTGTATTTTTAAATGTGCCTCTACCATATTCAAATATGTGAGGCAACATTCTTAATGAATTAATGTTTAGATTACATTTGCCAATATATATTAAAAGGCCTATTTTTGATACGAGCAGCAAAGGAGTGACAGTAAATTGGGAGAAGAATAAAGCTTTCCACATTAATTCTTAAGTATGAAATCCTGTCAGCATCCACAGTAGAATAACTACACGTTTATTTATTGTGTCCTCACCTGTCCTCCTGATTTACCGCGGCCGTACTGCCGTCCCTCCTTGAAGCCGGCGTCCCAGTCTGTCCTGATGATACGATCATCCAGCCGTGTGCCATTAATGAAGCGCATGGCATTCTCTGCACCTGAACGTACGTAGTACCTGGTACAGCGGGGGTTAAGGCTCCTAATTCTTTTTTTTTATCTCATACCAGAGTGTAGTGCTTAGGTTAGTAATGCAAGTATTCTTTAAACAAGGACTTTTAAAAAAAAAACTGGGTCACATATTTAAAAAGGATACTCTACGAAGCAGAATCCGCAGGCCGTCTTCTTGACTTTATCCAGACCAATGACGATGCGCTTGACGTCTCCACTTTTGGAAAACAGCTCGTGTACCTGTTTCATCAGCGGCAAAAACAACAGAGAAAAGTGAGAATAGTGTAAAGAGATTATAAGAAATATCTGTTAAATGTTAGAAGACTATCCTGGAGATCCTCTCATAATTTAAATATAATCCACTAGGAGTTACAGACAACATTTCTCATTTTCTTATAAAAAAAAAAGAATATAAAGTTGGTGCAGGTCTTAAACTGAGGATGTACTCAGTAATAATGGCCGTGTGTCCTACCTGCTCCTCTGTGGTGTAGAAGGAGAGATTCCCAACGTACAACGTGTTGCTCTGCTTCAGCAGCTTCTCCTGCTCATAGCGGTTACCCTGAAAACACAAGCAACAAGGAAAACATGAGTAAGCACAATTTACAGCTCACAGGATGCATAGCCGCTGATGGAAAAATGGAGAAGCAGATGTGTAAATGAATAACTTTATTTTTTTAGAGCACCTTTAAAAAACAAAAAAAAGGGTTTTGACAGACAAAAAGGTTAAAAATAAAGAATAAAAAACAACAATAAGAGCAGAATAGAAGCCTTAATAAATAAAATAGATATAACAAAGTAAAAAAGACACAAATAGAGATGTCATATAAAGAAAACAAGTCTATAAAAATGTGTTTTAAGAAGTTAAATTAAGTACATTATAATAATGAATCCATAGTGTGTGTGTGTGTGTGTGTGTGTGTGTGGAACCATATCAGTCAACAAACGAGCCTTTCGGATGGAGGATGTTGTTTTTCTCACTCTATTTATCCCACAGAGCCTCTGAGGAGCTTTTATTAAATGAAGCTTTCACAGATTGAAACAACCGGATCCATTCAAAGTACGAGCAGCCCGCTCTGTTGCTACGGTAGCCGGCTGTGAGCCAACGATATACACCGTCACACCGACACCGAGCCCCGTTAAATACCCGTTAGGAGAAATCCCCGCACTCACCTTAAAGTGCTGGTCTCTGTACTGGCTGACATCGATGTAAGAATCACTGTTTAATGCGTTTAATTTCGCGGACATTGTGAAAGAAGTCGCGGGGTCGGCGGCCTGCTGCTATTCGACTGTTAGCATTACGGAAACGCGATGACGTTGGTTCCGGTTTTACGTGCGTGCGTCGTTGGAAGTGATCAGGGTCAGCTGATCAGCGCCGCCTGTTGGTAAAGTCTGTTTATTACTTTTTATTTGATGTAAACAAACACAAAAACAAGAGGATGGTGTGATATTTTTTGATTTTCTTTTCTGTAAAATAAAAGAAATGTATTTATTTATATTTATATTTATATTTATATTTATTTTTATTGTCCTTGTGAAAGTTATAGCCAATACACTAAATCCAGTTTCTGTAAGCTTGCCATGTTAAAGTGCCCAAAGTCACATGACTCTTGAAGCTGGGAGGTCAACTGTGAGATGTGGTGCCACACTATTGGTTGCTGCCTGCTGTCACTGGCTGAATGGCTGCTTAGACTGGTCCTCTGGTTTGATTTGCCTTTTTTTATCCCGTGGCTCTTTTGTTCCTTTTATATACTGATCGGATAGTTTTACTGATATTTCTTAAGACGTAACAACATTTGTTGGATACTTTGAATTTTACTCATTCATTTATTTACCTGATTCTTTTTGGGGGGGATATTTTGCTAATAATTTAAAAGATATTTTAATATGATTTTCTTCTGATTTAACTGCTTTGAATACACTTGTGTCTGACTCTTGTCAACACCATTAACCAAAATGTCCTTATTCGCACATTATTTGCCCCTAACAGCTAAAACGTTTGAGAAACCTTTATGATTAAATGTTACAGTACATTTATTGGGTGCAATTACCAGAATATTTCAGTGCATAAATAAGGCTTCATGGATACCTTTTAAATGTCAATATAGTGCTTTATAGATTGTACTACCCAACTATAGATCTACACCATCAATGACACATACAGACGTATCAGACTTATTATAAATTGTAAAGTAAGATCTTTAAAATACATGAGTGAAGCAAAAAAACTTGTGTTTTCTGTTCCAACAAAATCACATCAATTTCTAGTAAGGTCAACATTTTATTATCATAATTCAAATATTCAAAGTAAACAAAAACATTTATCCTAATCTGTCCCCCGTCTGACTTCTGACTTAATAACAACCTACATTTATTTTTTTTTTATCTGTGTGTGTGTGTGTGTAAAGACTATAAAGATATAAATGAACCGGCTTATAAATCACAGAAAATGAAAAACAAAAGTGAGATGAAACGGCAGGACACAACGTTATCATCAGCCCACGGTCAAATACTGGTCTTAGCTGCTCACTGTCGATTCTACTAATGTTTAACAGAGACATACAGTCAGTTCTTGTATCATAATAACATCAGTTCAATAAAAAAACGGAGCATAACTATAAGTGGCTCTGCCGCGGGGGGGGTTGCCAACTCTACTCCCAGATTTGCCATGTTGTCTTCATCAGAGGTCAGAGGATCTCTACTTTATGCTCCTGGAACCTGAAAGACAATTACAAACATTAAACATTCATGTAATTACAAAATAACCTTTAAATTTTAACCTTAAAATTCATTTTAAATTTTTGTTTTGTTGTCCAATATTTAATAATAAGACCTGTTGATGCTACGTCTACTAACAGCTGGGTGTCTTTTGAATATCGATACTGATACGATGCTAGTTTCAGCACCAATACAAAGCAGACCTTTTTCATTTCCTGTCGCCTGCAGCTGTTCAGCTCACTGTGGCCGTTCCTTCTGGTTCAATTACTGGCTGACAAAACTAATCAGCTGTCAAAAGCAATGCCACAAATAAATGTCCTGTTTTATAATAAAAATAAATACTAAATACAGTTTTCTTATGGTGGCGTCACAATAAAAGATAACCTGTGCTCTGCAAGTTGAACAACAATAAACACAGAGGCTGAAATCAATGAGTTAAAATAATAAAATAAAAAGATAAAGCTGGAGAGTAAAGATATATGAATTCTTCAAATGTGGGGCAACGGCGGGGTCCGCCACCAACAACACAAACAGTTACATAGAGAGCTAATTACAGAAAGTAAACACATTTAATGACTCACATCACATGAATAAAGAATAAAAAATGATTTCATGAAAATCTTAAAGTGGGCCTTTAATGTGGGCCATGCTTTATTACCCAATTCCCCCACAAATGTAGTTTTACTTTCTCAGCTATCATTGAGTTTACATGGTGCATGTTTTATTCCAGGAATAAAGAAAAGAGGGATTGTGGGGGTTCAAATTGACCCTAAACAGATTAATCTTTAATATTAAAGCTTATTCCGAGGCCAGCTGACAAAACATCTGTAATAACTCACGTTTTTGAAAGTTGCCTTCCCTTTTCCCCTCTCTCTTTCTCCATCAAAGGTCGGATCTCCTCTCGATGCTGAGCAGCTCCACCTCGAAGATGAGCGTCGCTCCACCGGGGATCTTCGGAGGAGCTCCCCGGTCTCCGTAGCCGAGCTCGGAGGGGATGACCAGCTTCCTCTTCTCGCCCTCGCACATTCCCAGCAGGCCCTGATCCCAGCCTTTGATCACCTGGCCGGTGCCCAGGGTGAAGGTGAAGGGCCTGTCGCGGGGGATGCTGCTGTCAAACTCGGTGCCGTCCTCCAGCTTGCCCGTGTAGTGCATGTTGAGCACGTCTCCTTTGCGGGACTTGATGGGGCAGTTGTCCACCCGCTTCTTGATGCCGATCTGCAGCTTCTTTTTCTCGGCTCCGCTCACTGGCGCCGGGCTCAGGGAGAGCACGGCCACCGCGAACAGCACCAACACCCGCATGGCTGCAGGTTGTACCGCGGGTTCACAGCGGGTTTACAGCGGGTTTACAGCGGGGTACACGGCTGATAAAGGGGGGGTTTAGTTTGGACAAGACTGAGCTCAACGCCCAGCGTGCAAATTATGGAGAGGGGGGGGATGAATCAGGGAAATGAGTCTGGAAATCTGTTACCGAAAGCGGATGTACGAACGATAAGACCCCGGTAGTAGTTCTGCTCTTGGTGTTACCAGCAAAAGAGTCCGGAAAACTGTCTGGGGCCCCAAAAAACTTGAAGTTCGCTTCAGGTTCGACAGAATAAGACAGATTAATTAAAAATTAAATCATTTCTCAGTTTATTTGAATTGTTACGCCCCTTAAATGTGTAAAACAACAGAGTTTACACAGTTTAAAAGGGTGTACTTGTTTTATTTTAACATAATTATATTTGTAAATGTTTTAATGTGGTTTGATTTGATGATTTAATTACAAGTGTGTTCTGGCACTGTAAATAATAAATTGTCTTGTCTAGTAAAATGAAAGTTAAATAAAAAAATTAAATAAATGTAACCCCTTTTAAGATCTGTGAAACTTTGATTCCAGTATTTATTCCTTGACCTTGGAAAAGGTTGATTGATCAAAACATCTCAATCCGAGATCTACGAACCTGGAATGTGTGAGAACTTTCTTATGTTTTAGTTCCCTCTGAAATGTGTTGGAGTAGAAGTGTCGTGAAATGGTAAAATATACAGACCCCTCACATTTTGCACATATGTAGCATCTTGTTAAGAACACATTTACTGCATTACAGATAGACACGTCATCTCCCTGTTCTTTATTTTCTATTTCCACACATCAATGCAACAATGCCAAGTCGATCCTTCAGCCAAGGTGACAGACTTAAGATTGTGGAATGACTGGAAAGACGTTCCCTTGTCCCCTTGTTCAAGATAAATCACAAAATTAATATAGGACTGCAGGGTGTGAACTACAGGGTAGTCAGGGGGAGCTGGGCTCCTCTTAATATGACATGAGCTCCCCTGAAAGCAGGATTTGTGAAATTTTGTGGGGGTCTCTAAAATACTGACAATATTATGAGATGTCCAGATGATTTTTTTGCATTGAAATTGCAGGAGAAAGTGAAAAAAATCATAAAAACCTGACGAGAACTTGTTCCACTGAGACAGGGATTGGTTGAACTGGTGTTAACTGTTGCGAGCACAAGTTCCTGGAGGGCCCTGCAATGTGTTATTTCTGTCATGCATTACTATTTTTGGTTTATGTGTAAACGTACTATTGATATATGATGTGTGCACTAATTCACTTTAAAAATGATACTGCTATTCTTGCCATCACCGCTGAAGTGTGAAAGCCCAATATCATCTACTTCAGATCAGAAAATATCAGAACATTAACACAGTAGTTCCCCTGAAAGCCGCTGTATTGTTCGCATTTATTCACAAATATCCCGATTCACAATTATCACAATATTGTGTTTATCAGTATCGTGATAATACTGTATATTGCCCCACCCCTACTTGTATGAGAATCAGAATCAGAAATACTTTATTGATCCCTTGGGGGGAATTTTGTTCGTAACAGCTGCTCAAGGTGCTCACACAACATTAAAGAATACAAATAATAATCATATTACAGTATCTAACACTATATCTCTTCGGTATATGCATATAAAATAAAAATAGTAAAAATATAATAATGAGAAATACAAATATAGTAGCAGTGAGTACTGATAATGTTAATATGCTGACACCCTTAAACATTATTCAGTATTAGTGACAATAAGGTGATACACTAAGTCACCAGAGATGCTTTAAAGCCCCATAAAAACAAACATAAACATTATATACAGTCAATAATTATTACCCCTATTACCCCTCAACGTCGAATCAGAAACCAACTTCCGCCTCGCTCCGCACTCACCCACTGCGGTCACCTCGTTCAGCTGAAGTAAGTCAACTTTGTTATTACGTGTAACCATTAAAGTTTACAGCAACATATGAGACAGCACACAGCTTCTGTGGGATAATGTGACACCTCCAGCTAACTTAGTGTTAAACGTTGCTGTCGTTACAGGACGGAAATACACGAGAGTTTAACGAGCTAAGCTAAGCTACGTAAACACTCCGGTTCAAAGATGCTCTCTCGGTTGTTATTCAGCCTCATCAACAACCTCCATATCGTGGAGAAGTTGGCAGAATCCCGTCCGATTCGCAGGGCGGCCCAGATCACCGCCTACACCATTACCAAGGCTCAGATAGCCGGTCGGGACGCTTCGGAGCGGGTCCTGCGGTCCCAGACGCTGCGGCAGGTCCGGGAGGAGGCCGGCAGAGTGCCCGGTGACCTCGGGGAGATTGGCGGCCGCCTCCGGAGAGTCCGAGAGACTTTTGTGAATGAAGTGAAGGAGGGATGGAAGGACGGCTCCAGAAAGATAAAGAAATAAAGAGACTGGGGATCTAACTGTGGTGCTGGTTATTGAGACACTTCAGGGATTACTAAGTGATGGACAGTCTGCCTCAGCAGTGTCGGTGGTCACCATCACCATCAGACAGAGCTGGACACTGATCACACGGTGGTTAATCATATAATATATATATATATACATTCACTGTACTGTCACATTTCTGAGGACACACACAAATATTGAGTCCTTCAGAAAGGTGGGAACATTTTAAGTGGATTTTTTGCTCTAGTAATTTAAATTAAAGACCTTTTTTAAAAAAAAAAAACAACACACTACTGGAGCTGCCTTTTTATTGTTCTCTTCACATTAATCTATGATACAGAGCAATACACAGGTAGTTCAACTAATGATGACCTGATAAGTGTTGTTTGTTTGTTGGTTCCCATTTTACTCCGCCGATGTGCAATCGTGCACTTATGACACCAAATCCTGCCAAAAAGCTTCTGTAGATCTGTACACAAAGTTGTCTAAATACTTCTATTAGTCTGCAGTGTACATATATATGAAGGGAGATGTCGGGTGTATCAGTGTTCTGATTGTATAAATAAAGATTATTATTTATAACTGCCTGACAGTGTCTGTTATTTACCATTGGTAGGTTAAGTTTCAGGACATAAAGCAACTTTAAATTAAAAAAAAAAAGACTTTTTCCAAGTTTAGATGGTTAAATTAGATCTTTAAAAAACTATTTTTTGTTTGTTTAGGTGTGGACTAAAGTTATGAACTTACTGTAAGAGAAGTATTATCAGATTTGCACAGTCAAGAAGGGAGTGAAGTTCACAGTTCACTGCTTTCTAGTTGTAATTCATAGTCCATTTGGTTTCTCAGTGACAGAGATATGAGATATAACAGTGGAAAGAAAAGAGATAAGATTACTTTTTATTGCTCCCTCACATTTGGTGGCAAAAGGGCATGTACATGTCTCCCAGTAAGTTCAATCCGTCCTTTGGGCCCGACCCAATTACTGCATTATTGTACTGTCACTTACAGCTGCAATGATGAATCAATAGGTGGATGAAAATTACTCTGCAACTATTTTGATTCATGAATTGTTTAAGTCATTTTTCAGGCAAACATTAGATGTTTTTGGCTTTTTAAATGTGAGAATTTTCTTGTGTTAGTGTCTTAGAAAATGTAATATCTTAAAAGTTTTGGTTGTTGGTCGGACAGAACAATACATGTCACCTTAGGCTCTATTTTTCTACTGTTTTCTGATGTTCTATAGATTAATCAATTAGTCGCCAAAATAAGAACAAATTTTACTGCTGATCTTACTATTTGATTTTTGGCCAAAGCAAATTTCCTTGCGTGTTTACGTATAAAAGGTGCGAGAGGAGACTTGATTTCTGCTACAAAGAGGCTAAAACTTAAAACCTATGTGTCTGAGGAAAAGCAGCCTTAACATACGTATTCCGAATGAAATGGAAAAAGTTATTGTAGCTGTGAAGGGTCCTCATGTGACAGCTGATCAGAGGAGATAAACTGCAGAAAATCCACAATAACAAAACATTCTCATAAAGAAAAGCTCAACAGAAATGCATTATTGCAGTACGTAGCTTTATTTCATTTGAACAAGCACAGAAAACAGCTCAAGTCGGCAGCTTTATGTAGCAATACTTGTGCAGACGCACTGGCCTGGCAACTAAATATTAGTTACATGTTACATCATTTCACATAGAAATAAATCTCTATCAGGAGGAAGAGAAGGCATTGGTTTCTGACAGCATGAGTCAGTACATATACACTGATATGGCATCTGAACTTCATATAAAAATAAATCTCTCAACATAGGAAAATACACATCCAAATCAACATTTTAAAACAGGAAACAGCATCAGGCAGCAGGAGATACAGTAGATATGACAAGAACTGGTTAGTTTGAGTTAGAGGACATGAGAGCAGATCTTAAGTCCATTATTATTATTCTTTTAATGGCGTTTTATTCCTTTGACACTCTTCCATGACTAACAGCATTAAGCTAAATCCCTTCCCAAACCCAAATGGAGTAAAATGTCTTTCTGTAAGTCAAAGTAAAAGTTGGAATCACATTAATACATTAAAGCCTGTTGTCTTTCTCTTTGACTTAAACCATCCAGACAAACAAACCTCATTCACTCTCCAGCACAAAACACAGGATGTTTTCTTTATGTTCTCCCCAAATCTGACAAAACCTGACCAGAGTTACTCACTCCATTTGTGTCTAAATATGTAAATTGAAATGCTAAAAAGGTGTGGGAAAAAATGGCTGTAGGTGGAAGGGCTGCTGACTATCTGCTGCTAAAGCATTTCCCATCCAAAAGCATCAGATTAGTAACAATAATACAACAATTTCTATGTGCAGCTGCAAGCAGGCTCAACATGAATTATATTAAAGCATTTCACTTCTTGATTTTTAGACATTTGAGGAGAATACACGAAGTAGACAGCCTATGGACAAACACTCAGACACTCATCATCACACCATCCCCAGCACAGTTCTGTGTGGAGGCAACACTAGTGCATATTCTCTGATATGGCATTAGCTTATTGGAGAAACACAGCCCAAACTAAAGGAAGGCCGTGTTCGTTTGTACTCGAAGAGCAAGTGGCAGCAGAGCAGAACAGCAATCTGACTTCTATACTCACATGAAGCTGTTAAAAATAGGGGAGCTGATCTGGGGTCAGTTACAATTAAAAGTTTTTTTTTTAGTGTGGTTGTGTGGTTTTTGAGCAAGAAACAGGATATTCAGGCTGACTGAACGAGTTGATTTTAATATTAAGGAGTTCAAAAGTAAACTTCCTATCCATGTTACTGCTGCTAGTGCTTCTTAAAGTGTCAGTTCACCTAGATTACAAAAAACGTAGTGAATTATCCAGCGTTTCTGGGAAGAAATTTTTATTTTTTTAAATGTAATTGTTTGATGTGACACCACAAAACATTATCTGCAGCTCATATGAGGTTAAAAATCAGATCTGTCTGTTCTGTAAAACTAGCTTTGGAGAGACAGGGATGCACTACGCACTAAAGCAATGTAACAGGTGGCAGCATACACACTGATATGGCAGCTCACCTTCAGTAAACAAAGTGGCAGCAACACCTTCTCTCGACATGTCTGATTCACACTGGCTGAGGGCACCAAAAGTCTCTTCTCTGCCACACAAACAATTGTGCTTCTTTTGCTTCAACACTAGAAACATTTCAATCCAGAGGCAGTTCCAACATGCCATCCTCTCATATATTAAAATAACACACAATCAGGTAGAAAAGATGCAATTTTAGGACAGAAACACAGATTCAAGGATAGAAGGAGGACAATTAAAGAGAGGAGGAAGGGAATAAGTATAGAGAAAATGTTCGCCTGTCTCATGTTATATCTTTACATTCAGAGGTGGGTCAGCATGAAGCTGAACAGGGCCATCAGCAGCAGCCATACGGATGACATGACTATAAGAGAAACAGAAAATGGGATATATTAGAAAGGTCGTCCATTAGAAATAATCTGATAAAGTGGCCATTTTATACAATGGAAATCAGTAGCAGCTGCCCTAAACGTGTAAAAATACTCTGTTACAGTCCTGCAAGAGGGGCAAACAGCTATCCTCTGTCCAAGGTAATATAATCCACCTACCAGCATCTCTAAAGCTCAATAATTTACACACATCTTGTTTGTTTAATCTGGACAGAGGCAGGCTACCTGTTTCCCCCTGTTTCCAATCTTTATGCAAGCTAAGCTAAACTGTTGCTGACTGTAGCTTCATATTCAGTTTACAGTCATCAGTCTTCTCATGTCCCTTTAAGTTAACCTCAGAACATCTGTCACTTGCTGTAAAGTTGCTGTAATTTATTAATGTCTGTGTATTAAATGATTCATATTACATAACAACAATTTGGATTCTTTTTCAGTTCAACTTTAGTTAAAACATTGTGCAAACATTAAAAACAGCAATCACTTAGGTTGGTGTTGGATTGTAAGTAACGTGTTGTGCAATTTAGCATTTTTACCTGTAACTGATGAGTTACAGTCAAGGTCGACCAGTGAGTCCATGTAGCCCTGGCCCAGCCACTCCTGATAGGTCTTTTTGTCACCGACACTCACGAGGCGAACAGTGGAGTCTTTGAAGATGAGATCTGCTTCACCGTAGGCCTCCGAGTCAAACATCCGGAAACCAGGATTTGTATCGCTGCCAAAATATTTCTACAGGGAAACAGAGATAAATAGAAATGGAAAACTACAACTGACAAATAAAATCAATTATTTGAGCCTTTAGTGATCTAATTTCATAGAGTGTACCTCTTATTTGAAAACACCTTAATGACGTGATTAAGGATACATCAGCATCTGAGTGTTGGCGGCTCAAATGCAATTTTAAAGATAAAGATAAAGAATGTTCTTTGTTTTAACAGGAAAATAGCACTTGTTTTATTTTATTAACTGTGTATGTTGCACTTCTGATGACTTTAAATCCTCTTTTTGTTATGAATATTAGTTCAACAAGTAATATCCACCGTGCAATACAACGCAGAATCGCACACATAACTCATGATTTCTTAACTTGCTTATATATCTACCAACATGCAAACAACAATCAAAATGTTGTTCGTTTAATGACCAACAGCTATCACTGCGATACTTTTTAGCAGCCAACTATTAATTCTCAGATGGCAGAGCATCCTTAAATGCATCACCAAGAATCTCAAATCTCATATGATGTTGAATGAATTTGACAAAATGGTCAATGAGTCCTTGACTGGGAAGATGACCTATCTTAATCCAGTTTCAGGTCTCTGCACTTTGTTGGTTTACGCCCTCTGACTCACTCACAGACTTTACAGACTGTACGAACACTGTTACCTGTGCATGGTCCAGGAGTCCATAGACAGCGTGGATGTTGGTGTCGGGCCGCACCATCACGGCGTGGGAAGGGACTCTGGCCAGGTGACAGTGTCTGTACTGTGAGACCTCGGCTTTAGTGCCATGAGAACACAGCAGCTGGAAATCTGTAGACCGTAGATCCGTTGCCCACGATTCACCGCTACCTGAACAAACGCACAAAGTTACGGGGTTAATTAATTGGATCCCTGAAAAGTATGATACCCATAAAAGGAGAACACTTCTTTATCTTGGGGATATCTTGTCTTACCATCTGTGTTTTGGAAGACAGTAGAATGCTTGACGAAAGCAACATCTCCATCTCCCCTCGCCAGACACCTGAATGGACAGATGGACAGACACATGTAACGTTTGGCTTAAATAAGTATTGAAGGCGATGGAGACAGTTGGCACACGACTGGCATCCCAGTTGAATAGTCAGTATGAAAAATGAACAGCTGCATTAGAAAATATATGATTCTGTGAAAAAAAAATTTAAGCCTGTGTAAATAAAAACTTTGGGGGAGAAGTTTACTACAACTCCCAGGGTGCATATTAGCAAGAAGCATCCAGTCATAGAGCTTAACAAAATCCTATATCATTAAAGAAATATCTGAAATGGGAGTATAGAATGAAACATGTAATACTGATGAGATGCAGTGGTTTGGGATGTTGCCGTTTTTAGTACCTGAAGGCACCATTGTATCCGTCATACAGGTCTTTTCCCTTGTCACACTTGTTCTGTCCTTTGCTGTCTCCCACACACAGACCACACAGGCTGCTGGGAAAACCGGGCTGGTTGGCACCTGGTACACAACTCTGCTGGAAGAACTCTCCCATTGCTAAGAATCGTGGGAAACAGGAAATAGAAAGTCAAATACCGGATACATGTTATAACCTGCTGTATCCAAAATACAAGAAATACTTTAAAGGGTCAGTCCATCGGTTACACGTGAAGTTTAGTTCAGTTGCACAGTGAGTACTGCTCAGATTGTGACAACAATGTTTTCTGTGGAGGAGCATTAGAAACTGATGTTGGGCTTGAACATGTCATCAGACAACTCAAGATGGTTGTGTGACTGCAGAGTGAGGCATCATGCTAGGTTTTCAGGTACTTCTTGTTTATTAAGTGCAGAGTCGAATACACAGATGAAGAGTTAGAAAAGTTTCTTCGCCATTATTATGATTTGGATGTGGCACTTACACAGTGTGAAACTCTGAAATATAAATGCAGCAAAACAAATTATGCTGTTGAGCTGCATTATGACCTTCTTTGTATTCTGCCTCTTGCAAGACCCCCGAGGGGCAAGTGGGTGACAAATATCCACATGTGCCCAAATTCCCAAGTTGTTGTTGTAAATTGTGTTATTATTTTACTGATTACATAATTAACAAAGCTTAACATGTAACTGTAAAAACAAAACCATGTCTACTTCTGAAAACTGATGAAAATTTAATGTATTGTCAGCAACAGTATACCACAAATCCTTGAGCACACTGACAAAAAACAAAACATATCACATATACAACACATCTGGAGTAGGAAAATGAAAACAACTGCTCAAACAATTTGTTGATTAATCAATCAGCGAATCAACAGAAGATTAATCAACCATTTTAATAATTCATTAATCATCTAAGTCATTATTCAAGTTTAAATGTTAAAACACTCTCTTGTTCCTGCTTTTTACATTTGATGTGAGGATTTAAGGCTTGACTGTGTTTTAAATAAACAGATTTTTCACTGTTTTACGATTTTCAGCATCTGACCCCTGGATTCTTACGAGTTCTGACTACTCCAGCTCACACCTCTGCTAGACACACACACACACACACACACACACACACACACACCCAACATCTCACTGACCTTGGGGTATCTGACATTGCTGAGGGTTGATCAGGCCTCTCTCCATCAGCGTTGCTACGGGAATGTTCCAGCCAGCCGTGCGGCCATATCCGGTGTGACAGGAGCGCCGGCCTCTCAGGTCGTCAAGGTTACGGATGTCTTGGCTACTCTTTTTTACCACCGCAACTGCATAGTATATGGAGCCATCACGGTCGTCTGGAGAGAAAAAAACAACAACATCCTGTATCCGTCTTCTTTGAAGCAATGTGTGACAGTATGTTTGTTTGTGGGAGTCCCTGTTTTTGTGTTTTTACCTGTGTAGCTCTCGGCAGTAGCAGGGACCAAGCCGTACTCTTTGCCTGCAGTGTAGATGTAACCTCCATCCAGAGTGATAGCATCAGCCTCCTTGTTCTACACAAATACAAAAAAGAAGAGCAAAGATTGAAATGCCAAAACTGTTAGAAAAAAGCCATTGTTTGGTCTTCTTTATGTAAATGTATCAGTATGCAGAGGTGTGGACTCGGGACTTTAGACACATTCTGACAAAATCAAAAAAGACAAGTACAGCAAAGGACCAGTGTGTAGGATTTAGTGGCATCTAGCAGTGAAGTTGCAGACCACTAACTGAACACTGCTCGGGTCAGTATTTGACGACCTGACAATCAGAACGGACTATGAAGTGTATAGCAGAAATTACGGTGGGCGTGAAAGATGCAATGCAAAGGGCCCTATATTGAGCCAGTGTTTGACTTGGTCCTTCTGCGCTACTGTAGAGACACAGCGGTTCAGCAAGGCAGCCTCCATGAAAGAGGACCCGCTCCCTGTGTAGATAAAAACGGCTTATTCTAAAGTAACAAAAACACTTATTTTCAGGTGATTATACACCAATAAAAACATAACTATGAATATTATATTCAATTTCTGCCAATAAATCCTACAGACTCTGTTTTGGTCATTGTACAGCAATGATCTGTTCAAACAGACAGTGTCTGTACTCCATGGGGGGGATTTATTTTGCTGCTGAACTCGAATACAGAAATCTCCCTGTAGAGTCAAGACTTAATTATCACATATCATCTGTTCTAATAAACAGTTACCTTTACTTCATTCAATTGTCTCTCCTGATTGAAATGTTTGTGGCAGATGTGGGACAGAGTCATCATTTTTACAGTCACAAGAGAGTCAGAAGTATCTCAAAGCGGATACCAACAAGACCCAAGTTAAGTCCAACTTTGTGTTTTGACTTGTGAACAAGTAACTATGTCTCTTTTATGAAATTTAATGCCAGCATAATCGGGTTGCAAGTTTTTATTATTATTTTTTTTTTTTTTGTCAAGTTAATAAGTCATTGCAAATCAAAATGTATGACCATTAGCTGTTCTTTGGGAACCTGCAGTAAGAAACACGTTACCTTGATTTTGTCCATGCAGTTAGTCACAGAGTCCCCATGGACACACCTGACAGCTGGAGTCAAACCTTTACTTTGAAAGGCTGCGCCCATGTCAGCGCACTTCTCCTGCTCACGGCCTGTCAACACACACCACCGCAGGGCGTCTGGGATATTTATAGAAAGGTGGGTGGTACAGAAGGGAAGAAATAAAGGTAAGCATATAGCCCAGTTAACCAAAAATACAATATTGTTTGGCATGTTACATTGGTTTTAATCAGTACATAATTTAACATTATGATCAGGTGTTTCACCTTCAGCTTTACAGTCCATAGCTCTCAGAGCATTGTAATAGTAGTGACCCATCCACTTCTGGGGGTCTTCTGACTCCACCTCCTGAAACATGGTGGTTGACTCAGAGAAGAGAACGGTTCCTCCTCCATATTCCGCAGAGGAAAACATGTTGAAGTTTGACTTTTCCTGCAGACAGCAAGTTACACTCAATTAATCTCACAAATAGAATCTCTGCTTAAATGTCTGATTGCTTCACTCTGCTTTTAAGGACTAATGTGTAGGATCTAGTTGGCCTCTAGCTTAACCCTCCCCTTCCAAGTGCAAGGGAGAAATTATGGTGGCAGTGTAATGCAAAATGCCCTATCTAGAGCTAGTGTTTGGTTTGTCTGTTCTGGGCTGCTTTAGAGACACGCTGGCTCAAAGGGTGATTATACGCTATTGAAAACATACCTATGAACATAAAACCATTTCTGCCGAGAGATTGGACCTTTAAGATATCAATACTAATAATGATGGGTTTTATTTAAGCACTTATCAAGACTGTAAAAGATGTTTGACATGACAAACTAATTGTATTTTCTAATACTTTGGAGCCAAGAATAAAGGCTCACCCCAACGGTGGTTTATGTATTCTGTTCCTATCCAGAAAACAGACAGCAGCACACAAGCAGACTTGCACAATAGAATCAATGCTATTTGACAGCTGCAGGATGGACCATGTGGTGGGATAGTTTTAATACAATTTAAAGATTTAGATCTAATTTTGACTACTGAGGGGACAGGTGGAAAATGATAGAGGCTCTAACAAACTGACATTGTGTAATGTTTGACATCGCGTCTCCATGACTACAATGTGCAAAAACACTGAGGCGCTATATGAGCAGAACTTGTGTTTGTGGGTGTTACCACAGTGAGCTATGTGGACGTACCAGGCCCTCCTTCAGCATGGTAAACACCACAGAGGGAGTGATGTGATTGCCGACCGCAATCCCACGAAATGGGACGCGGACTAGATGGCATCTGTTCCACTGAGAGACGGGAGCTCTGCTGCCGTCACGACACAACAGCTCATAGTCCGATGACAGCAGTGGTTTTGCCCATTCTGGTCCACGACCTGGTGAAAAAACAGCTGGTGAGCTAACAAACATGTTGACAAGCTAACTGACAAAGTGGCTGAACTAATGATTACTAATTACTGGATATCTAGCTAACTAAGACATTACCACCAGTGTTCTCCTCAACAGTTGTGTGTTTGATGAAGGCCACTTCTCCTGCATCTTCAACCAGACATCTACAGAGGCCAAAAGCAAAAAAAATATGTTGAGAATTAAAGGTGCAAGTAAATCAAAATAAAGTGTTTTTGGCCACTTTTTTACAGAATGAAATATCTCAACAACCATTAGAGAGATTCCCATTACATGTTTTCCATTCATGGTTCCAAAATAATGAATCCTTTTTCATGTTGTATTCAAACTTCGGGTAGTGTTACATCAAACATCCAGAGAGCTGCGCCCCATGGCGACCACCCGATCTCTGACAATGAATCCTAAAAACTTCCCTGACAATTCCCCAATGTTAGAATACTATCCCCTTAAACATGGTTAATGTTATGCATAAACTTGTTTTATCTTCATTTGTGTAAACTTTTTCTAATGGATACATTTTTTTGTGTTAACCTGTAATATTCTCTGCTTTTTTATCCATATATAATTATGTGTAATGATAATATTTGTTGTTAATTCACATAAAGAAAGCAATTAGTATTGGTGTTTTCTTCTTATTATTGATCATTTAATAATATGTTCTTATTGCTTGATTAATATCCTGAAGATAAAATTTGTTATATATATATATATATACTTAATAAGACGGAATCACAGTTAAAACCTGTACTAATACTGGTAATGTAGAGGTAGAGGAAAGGGAAGGAATCTAGATTCTAGGTCTTCAACAGGGAGTCCGCGACCCATAAGGGTCCTCAGAATTTTCTATTATTCAACAACATAAACATCTCTGAAGATACATTAACGTGAATTGACATGAATCCAACATATAATTAACAAAGAAAAAATAAAACCTGAATATGTGAACAATAATTACTTTAATAGCTTACTACTGTACACAGGATAACAAGGTATTTTTACATACATGGCTGCCCTGAGTGTAATTATAGGCCCAGTTTAATATGCAACACAAATCTATAGCCTACTTAGGGGGTCCCTGCTCCATCTCCCTGTCAGCTGACCTGACATCCACTCTCTTGTTCACATACAGCACAATGCTGAAGAACTGTAACCAGAGTATGAATGTGTGTTACCTGAAAGCTCCTTCATAGCTGAAGTATCTCTCTTGGACGCTCATTTCACATTTGTGATTTCCGGCATTATCTCCTTTGCACAGCTGACACAAAGACTTAGGATCACCAGCCTGGTTTGCTCCGGGGATACAGCTCGCATTGAAGAATTCTGCCACCCCTGATCACACAAACACACACGTCTCTCCAGCTTTCTGTATGTGCAGTCTATGTATATATATATATGTGTGTATATATATGTTTCCTACCCTGTGAGAAGTCGCAGCCCATCACAGACATGTAGCCCTGGTCTATGAGGTATCCCAAAGGCATATTCCAGCCGGCTGTTCGGCCTTTCCCAGTGTGACAGCTCTTTTTTCCTGCCAGGTTGTTGATGTTGATGCCAGAATTTGCTTTCTTCACCACAGCAACTGCATAGTAGGAAGTACCGCTACCTGAAGCAACAACAGCACAGGCGTTAACACAAAGAAATAAGATCTAGAAGATCAAAGTACAGCCTACCACTCCTGTTTTGAAATAATCCACATGCAGTACTGAGGGTAATCAGGGTAACAGGTATGATAACTCAGGACCCTGCCTGTATTATTCCATATTACCCATGATAAAGACCAGAATTAACTTGAGCTAATCATGAGAGGAGAGTAAACACAGGTATTCACCATGCATCTGGCAACAGTAGTGAGTTAATTACAGTCTTACACAATAAGACAGTGACAGTTAAATATGAGTTTTTATTATATTCTTTCAGATTTGTATCACTGGGACTACAGATTGTTTGGTCTTGGTTTGGAAGAAACCACTCTCATGTCTGAGCAATATGAAGCTACAGCCAGTGTCTGGTTAGCTTAGCACAAAGACTTGAAACAGGGAGAATGAGCGAGCTGGGCTCTGTCCAAGAGATAGTTCAGCGTATAACTTTCCATAAAACTACAAACTGATGTTTTTGTATTATGTTTTTTGTACATATTAAATGATTAATAAATCACATTTCTCTCTATTTCACCCCACTTTTAACACCTGTTTATCTCTCTCTTCCAGAAAGAAAAATTTAAATGTATTTAAGTGACGGTTCTGGGGCCATATTACAGAAACTTCTTAACTTGAAGAACTTATCTTAACTGTTTGGTAACCATGGTGATTAGAGGTAGGACCTGATTTAGGAAAAAATCCACTACAGATGAACAGTTCCTAGGTCAATGTTCATAATTTAAGGTTATAAATGTATATAACGCAAACATGTTATGTTTAATGTTTTAAAGAGTTCGGTCTAGACCTACTCTATTTGAAAAGTGTCCTGAGATAACTTCTGTTATGAATTGGCGCTATACAAATAAAATTGAATTGAATTCAATTGAATTGAATTGAATTGAATTGAAAACATCGTAACCCCCAAAATCTTAAAATAACTTTAGGATAACCGTAATTTCTGTTTGCCTTTTCTTTTATTGCTTTTACACAACCAATTAAATGTCAACACACTTGGTTACAAAGCTGTTTAGCTTGACGTGATGAGAAAAGTAGTGTTGGTTGTTAGGTAACAGACATAAAAGTTGATAAGCTTGGAAGCTGGATTGAGTATTTATGATTTCCTAGATAAGATAGGATGAATAAAGATAAGACATTACTTAAAAGTAAGTTAAAATATGCTTCTATAATACTGGAAGAAAAAATCCTATCATAGACCCTTCCTGTAGGACTATAACATTAATAGTTTCTGTAATTTGACTCCTGTAACTTGTGACAGTACTGGGTTGCTCAAGCTGGTTACTGAGGTGTTAGTCTTTACTGCTGCTGATTCTTGAAAAGATCTGAAATCTTGAATCTTACGATCAGCCTTTGATTCGCTGGCAGCCATCTTGAAGGAAGCTGTCTTCCCCAGGTTGTAGATGTCGGTGCTGAACATGGACAAGGCGTCTGCTTCTTTCTTCTGCAGAGACACAGCAAACGAACCGATTAATGATGCTACTCAGTAACACAACAGGGAGCTACAACAGTACCTTCAATATTAAGAACCACAATGTTTAAAAGACATATGGGCAGCTAATTAATATATAGAACATTGTATGAACAAACATTTGGAGTTTCTGTACTCCAATGATGATGTGATGATTTTTAAAAGTTTGTGTAAGTAAAAAACATTTTGGAACAAGGAATACATTACAGCTTTTTGAGCACATCAAGTATTTCCTTATCACCTAATAAAACACGTTTATGCTTGTGCTCCTAGTTCAGCTTCTGGTTACTAGGACGTCCTGTTGGTCGTCATTAAAGACCCAGTGTGCTTTGTGCTCCCTGATAACTGTATCACCTATTACCAAGTTTATTGCGACAGACTTTCTACCTTGTTATCTTATGCCTGATGATGTGTTCTGCCACCATTTTATTAGCTTTAACGAGCCCTCTGGTGTCCTGACTGATACAAATAAATAGAGTAATTAATAAGATATTTTACAATGCAGGAGATAAAGTTGCATAAAAAAGAAACTACTTTAGTCACAAGTTATTCAAACGTGTTGAGTTCAGCAAGGTTTAAAGTTCCTGTTGTAAAAATCCGACCTGTAGTTTCTGAACGCAGGCCTCGACTGCCATTCCTTTGACACAGGTGAGGGACGGACGGATGGAGACTTGGGAGAAAGCCTGCGACATGGCGTGACATTTCTTCTGCTCTTCATTTGAGATGGTGCACCATCTGATGCTGCTTTGGCCAAACACTAACATAGAGACACACAGAAACCACTTATTACTGTACTGCACCAAGTGATTCATGAAAACACCTTGTATCCAACGACCACGACTGTTTCTGCCATGATGCTTTCTGTCTAACAGTATTTGCCAACCTGGGGATTGCGACCCCTCAAGGGATCATAAGGTATTCTGAGGGATCACAAGATGAATAACAAAAGTTTTAAATATGATGATTCTCACATTTTGGGGTTTTGTTGTGGGACATATTGGAGAGTTTTGCCTCTTCAGCCCTCTAAAAACTATCCAAACTGAGCAAACTGAGAAGGGAACATCACTCTCTTTGGTTAACAACTCACATGCAACATGTGATGTGGGGTTATGAGTGGATGCTTTAAAGCAGTGGTTCTCAACCTTTTTGGTGTCAAGGACCCCCCAAATTGACACATTAGGTTGCACACCCATATTTGATAAGATTTAGTCTTAGGGATCCCCCATCTGATAAGATTTAGTTAACTAGCTATACCGTAGATTTGCAGATTAACAGTGAAGAGTGTGAAACCTGGACCCTGGTCTGAGAACCACCACCTTAAAGATCCACAAATAAATTGAGGTGAAAAGGGAAAAATACTTTGGTTAATATGTTCAAACTGCTGTTCTGATGACGATTAATTTATAAATAACACTAGTCTTTAGAGTTAAATTCATTTAGTCAACCTTTAAGACAGTTGGTTTTACATGACCACACAGGAAGCCACAGAATAGGACACAAAGTCTTTAATACATAAAAAAAAATTATATCCAACAATGAAACAAACACTGTGACATTTTGTGTTATTTTCCAGTGTATTTAGTTTTTAAAAAATCAGCTCTTACCAGTATGTAGTATTAGCAGTAGAGCTCCGGCTGTCCTCCACATGGTCATGGCTGTTGTCTCTTCCTCTCTCTGTTGGGTGAAATTGCCTTCTTTTCCCCTCTCCTCTACTTTATATGACGAGTCTCGAGTCAAAGTCCAACTTCTATCTTCAAGACTCGGCTTAAAGTCCTCGGTTGAAGCTCAGAAGAGGCTGTATTAGCGATTTACAACTCAGTCATCTAACAACATGTCATTCAGGAATCACAAGACTCCCAGCTCGAGTATTTGAGGCTAACTGTGGAGTTTATGAAGAGCTCCTCTCTGGTGTACCTGGTCTGACACGTCTCTGCTGCCGCTGCCTGGCTGCAGGCCAAAGCCCGGACAGAGAGGTCTTTTACAGTCAGAGAACCCCACCTCTGCTTTCCTCTCACTCCTCTCTTCCACTCGTGTGGTGCTTTTCCACTGATGGGCCAAAAGGAAAGAAGGGATTCAGGCCAACACAGTGAGGCTGTTGGTCACTGACTTACTGCTCTGGCTGCAACAACAACAACACACACACACACACACACACACACACACACACACACACACACACACACACACACACACACAAAGAGTCTGTTTACCTGCTTTAGTTGCTAACTTTGACCATATATCTGACTTTTTGGAAGTTTGTCCTGTACAGAACATGGAGATTGATAAAGTTATTCCCACTTGCAGACACTGTGAACTGAACTTAATAACCAAAGGCAAACTCTACTCACTCTGGTTGTTTGGTCATTGCAGTAAAGTGAGGTGAAGTGGATGTTCTGGTTCATGCCCTCTGCTGCTAATGTTCTGGATTTGAATTGGGGCTTTGACCTCACATGTGTTCTGGTTAGTTAACTACTTGGCAGTAAAATAATTAATGAAGTAGCTCCACCTTGACATCTATGAATCTAATAATATCAGTCATAATATATGACTGGTATTATTGAGTACTTTTATTTTTGATATTTCTACTACATTTGCTAATACTGCTACTTTTATCTTTAATGCATCTTTTACTTTTAATAGAGTCATTTTACATGTGCTACTTTTATTTCAGTAAAAGATCTGAATACTTTCTAATTAGTCAGACATTTCTATATAGTTCCTCTTTGCCAAAAGGGTCTCATATTTCTTGTAGTATGTTTTTTAGATATGCATCGCTAACTGACTGACTCACATTAAATCCCCAAAATGTACTTTTCTTCCAGGCTCATGAGTAGTTGTGTCATAGATCAAAACTAAATGTATGACTCAGAATAATTTAGCCTCACAGTGTTGTAGCATAAAGTAGCTGTTTCATATCAAATCAATTTCAGTCAAACAAAATGTGTATTAATAGAGACAAAGAAGCTTAAAGGCATTTTGCCACTGAATTTTAATTCCTCTATTTTTGTTTGATTAGACAATGCAGTTGCCCACTGCTGCAGGATATGAGGATGCATGATTATGATGGTAAAAGATTTCTGCAGACATCTGGTGAAACACAGGAAGGGAGTCTAATCATAAAAGATCAGTTACTGTACCTCCGTGTTCATGGTCCCCTGGTACACGACAAGCATGGGTGATAAGAATAATAAAGCTTTAAGAATGTTGCATAATGAATGAAGAGGGCAGCAATGTCAACAAATACCTAATTAAACAGGAACTAAATCAAACAGACAATGCAATGTTACAACATGACACAGGGTGGAATGTAGAGAATGTAACAGCAGTTGTAAGGCAGCACATTTGCCTGCAGAAATTGACTTTACGTTTATGCTGCCGCAACATTCACAAGACACAATGTGACGGGGTGAGGATGACATGGAGGTGACAGCCAGACTGATGTGTCAGAATGCTGCTATTTTCATTTACAGGAGCAGTCACCACCTCACATCAGCTGACCTTATGACTTTTTATAAAATAATAAACGTAGATCTTGCTGTGCCTCACGTTTCACAATGGAAAAATATCACTGTGGGATCGTCTGTCAACCCCACTGAGCTGTTCTTATTGTCACGTACAGCAGGCTCTGTGTACAACCCAGGTACATATAAAGACATTTTATAAGATCTTTACAGATCATATAACAATGTAGGTGTTTTGTTCTCTTCACATCCTGAGGTTGACTTCTTGCAAAATTTTAATGAGCTGTAATTTATTATGTCCTGTTGTTTACTGCAGGGTATTTATCAGATTATGGCTACTTGAACCGGAGGACCGGTTGAACTCAAGGACATCGACACTGGGATCTTTGGAAATTAGACATTCAAATGAGGTGAGACAGAAGCTGAAAGTAGGATCAGTGAAGATGACTGGATTGATTTATTGGAGAACTGACCTCAGAGATTCAGATTCTGGAGAATTAAGAATTTAAAGCTCAAGAAACTAAAAAATCTTGAAATCAGACAACTACTTTTTTTAATACTTCCTTTTTTACCACTTTAATTTGTAAGGCTGGAATAACTTTTGCATTCATTTACATTTATGGATCTTTAATTTCTGAATAATTACCTACATTTTGACAAAGTTTCCTGGAAATAACCATTTAATTTGGTACTAATTAGAGGAAAAATAGAGAAAGTTTTCACTTGGTACACTTGGTCTTCTAATTCTTTCCAGGAAGCTCCAAGAAACCTAGGAATCAGACACATGACCTGAATAGGTGGTATGTTTTGGTCATAAATGAGAAAAGGTTAATAACTCTAAAGTTGAAAACAAAAAAACTACTTCTACTAGCATTTAGTATTTTATGTTACTACAGCCAGGTGTGACCTCACATAAACTTACCAACAACCCGTTGGCTCTGCTGCAGCACACTGTGACTGATTAACTAGAGCAACTGTGAGAGGGAGTGAGAGAAACAGAAAGATGCTGTTTGTGTGGAAGAGAAACACTATGTCTGTAAAACAGGGGGACGAGTGTGTTAATGTGTGTGAAATATGACACTTGTTCACACTGATGACGTCGTTTATGCAGGAAAAGACATAGTATACAAGGAACACAGCACCCTCTAGGTGCTGCTAACAGGGTTTCACAAACTTGCTATATAAGACACTGGTAATGAAGGTAATCCTCAGTGTAAATATGCTTTTAATTTGCTATTATGTACTTTAGTCAGCTGTCTGCAATCTCTGTTTGGGATATGTTATACAGGTGTACTTTCTGAAATGTTGCTGACCTCTATTTAGTAGCTGAGAAGTTTCATAAACTATATTCAAACATCAAACTGGCAGATCATTCTTAGAATTAAAACTTAACTTCAATGATTTCTTTACGCTTTACTATGATTGTAGTTCCATTGTATTTGCAGCATCAGTTGTTAAAAGTTTTTAGGTTTGTAATGGAGCAAATAACACTCTATGTATGGAAACATCACTGAGTACTTTTAAACTTGTTAGCATTGTATCCTGGTTTAGCATGTAGACCCATAATCTGGTATAAAATGTGTATTCAATGCATTCAAATCAACTTTACATTTAAAATCTCACACTGGGAAGATATTGATATATGATAAGCATTTAGCTCACAGCCTCCGAGTCACTAGGGCTGCTGTTGTTGTTGTTGTTGACTGTTGTTCATCCTTCAAATGAAATGTGGTTGACTGCGCTTGTGCTTCTACTGTATTTGTAACCGCTGTGGTTTAGAACTATGATTGTGTTTACTGATTATGTCTTTATTTTGGTTCATAAAGTGGAATCTTTTTAGTCATTAGGGTCAGCAGATGCTTCACCATCCCAGACAAGAAGCTGTGTGTCTCTGAAAAACCACATTAGACAGATCAATAGAGAAAAACCTGCAGTAAAGTAAATAATATTCATATTTAAATGTTATTATATCATATTCACATTCATACACATTCCCACAACACAAAAAAAGAATAATCATTGCCGGTCATCAGTCAGTTTCAGTAAATCTCAATAAAGACTTTTATTTTTTTTTGTACCAAAATAGGCAGTTAGAGCAGGGATAAATATTATAATATGTTAGATATAGATCCATCTCTGTAATAGATTCTTTGCATCGGTGCTTTACTCTAACAGACAGTGGCATGGTCCCCTGGCTAAAACACACAGCCAGAGTCTTACAGAGAGTCCAGTTCTGTCAACTGACGACACCACGGGTTCACTGGATTCATAGAGGATTACAGACGGAAAGTAATAATTTATCTGAACATTCTGTGAGGAAATATTAAAGCTTTCAAAACACATGTGGTCAAAACTACTTATTATTTGGGTTTTAAGAGCTACTCTGTTGACAGAACGGCCATTCTGCATGTCTCTGGTCTCCAGTCAGCATGGAGGAGTCGCCTCGGGGGTTGAAGGTGGAGATGGGAAGTGGATGGCTGACAAGGTCCATATAGGGGCTGTGTTACCAAAAGCATCTTGGTATTTCAAGTGTTCTGCTTCACAACAGAGATTATTGTCATGTTTCGGGTTAGCCCCATTTGTGACTTCACTCTCTTTTATAGCTCTGTTTTTGGTGTCCATCTCCTGAGGGAAATATCTGGCTCTTTAGCTGCTAAACGCTCAACTATGTTCACCAGGGAGTCTCTAACTGTGTCTGTCTGCCATTTGCAGCTAAGCAGGTCATGTACAGTGGGGTTTTAGAGCTTTTTTTTACAGAAACGATGCTATGAGAGCAGTGAGAGTGACCCAGAACAGTAACGCTGCAGCCAGACAGATAAACAATGAACTGAAACTCGCTGTGAAGCTCTGAGGGGAGCTGCAGATTCAGATGATTATTCTCTGTAAATTCATCACTAAGAGCAACCCCTTTCACATTGTCACATTGTTTTCACATTGTCATTTGACACGTTACTATTATAAAAATATTGATTATAGTTGCTTTAAGGGACAAGCCAAATCGTTATTTTTTACCTCCTACCCCAGCAGAGGGTTGTGTCACCAAATATATTTTTGTGATCTCACAGATGTCGACTATAAAATGTTTGCCCGATGCTAAACCAACATTAAAATGGTTTATTTCCACAGACTGTGACGGATGTCTTTGTAAACAATCAAAAGTTACATTCACTGCTGTTCTTGCCAAAACTGCCTTTCAGCGGCGTAGTGTGAAACCAATGGCAAGATGTGAATAATGCTGCCCGTGGATGCCCTCATGCTCATGCACTATAAATAAAACATTGCTCCATAGCACGATTAAAGCTACTAAAACTATTTAACACAACATGTAAATTGGCCTGATAAAAACAGTGAAACAGCTGCAGTGCCAGAAGAAAAGTTGTTTTCAAGCTAGGTTTCAACCTCTGTCTGTGCTCTACACCATACAACATAGTGAGCATTTTATCTATTTTCTTTTATGTGTTCAGTAGGAGTAAAGTTTAATATATTTTGTGACGTGTGTTCACTTGTTGTTAAGAGAGTTAGCTTCTCCTTAGTCTCTGCCACATTACGAGCAGCAGAGACTCTGGAAAAACCGCTGCAGAGAACAGATGTGCAAAGAGAGGGTCACACGACTGACAAAGCCAGCATCAAAAGGCTACTTGTACATTAAAGTTGCCTGTTGTAGCACCTATAGAACTGGAAACAGTGCTTCAGAATAAAATATTGTTATGGAAATTCACTGTTTTAAAGTCTGTGGTCAAGTCCACTGTGGAGGCCACGGCAGTGGTGGATTTAGACGTTGGTTAAACATTTTATCTTTCTGGGCAGAGTGTTGACATCTATGGGATGATTTAAATACCCTTGAAGATACAACCCATTGCTGGATAACAGGTAAAAATGTAACACTTTGATTGTCCACCGTGTGCCCGTATCATGGAGTAACCTATGGAGTGCAGAGGTCACAAATGGTGCTATAGTTTCAGGTGTTATTTATGCACACTGGGACTGAAAGCTCAAACCTATAACTGCAGACACCTGCTGCCAGAAGAGCTAATGCAGTTGACTAGTTAGTGCTGACAGACTGATGTCTTTAACTACGCAACAATAGCAAGACGTACAGCAAATGAGAAAACTGCAAAAACCAAAAAGTGTTCCCTGACCTCTTTATCTCTTTCAAACCAGCATAGTCACCACCGACAGCAGAAAGAAAAGTGAGTGTATCACACATCCAAATACCGGAAACACTGGGATGGTATCATTCCTGTCACGCTAAGATGCTTTTAAGAAACCAGCCGTCATTAGTGCAACTACAGTAAGAAGGAAAGTTATAACGATGATGCTGATGATTATGATCGTGATGATACTGTTGATGAAGAAGATGATACACAGTTTAATGCTGGAGTGCTCAACCAATGTCACACTGTGAATGTGGAGAAGGGGAGGAGGAGAGAGATAAAGGCATGAGACAGAGAGGGGGAGGAGGAAGGGGAGGCAGAGAAGCCCTTGTGGGATGGAGATGGGTATTAATCTTTTTAAATTTGAGGATCTGGGCCTGTATTTACCAAATTGTAAGCAAAAATCCTTCACTTTTACTCAGACTAGCCTTAAAAATGAAAGCTATTGATCAAATACTTCAAATTTTAATGTTTTAGAGGAACATATTGGGTCATAGCTGAAGCAATATGTTAAATTCAAAACAGGTTATTTGTATGTTAGTAGAAGATTTAATAGGATTTTATACCACCTTTTCTTCTTTGTGTGTTGATCAGGGTGCAAACAACAACAGTGAAGCTGTCGTTGGTTTTGTTTGCACTCACTTTCCATACATCTTCATTATCTGCACATAGTACCTGTTATCTCTGGTGTAAGTTATCAACCAACAGCAGCATTTCTTTCCTGCTCCAGTTTGGTTTTTATCTGTATATTTATATATCATAAATATATCAGATTTCTTCTGGAGGATTTCATACTAATAAAATGAACTTTTTAAAAATTAAAATGACGTTTGATGTTTTTACAGAGCAAAATATTGCTGAGTGAAACGTAAGCATTTTTTAAAACAATGTTCAGCGAAGCCTTGCCTCTGATTGGCTGCTCCTACTCTGAGCATACGTGTCATTAATCATGATGTGATCACTTGAAAGCTGCTCTTAAAGTTTGATGTAAGCAGGAGTGACACGGTTGATAAATGCGTCCTAAGCAATTCTTTTTTTGGCTACTGAGGTTGTTCTTAATAATTGTCAGAAATTTGACAAATATGGACCCAGGCTTTCAAATGGGCTCTAAAACAATTATGAGGGCTATTTACTCAATTTATTTTTGGCCCAGAGTACCCCATACTTTATCTATTTTAAAGCAATCTTTAATTAAATTTGCTATTTAACCTTTGAATTTCTGGTTGTTAATATCAAGTGTCTTATGCTTAGGATTATTTTCTTGCTACATCTCTAAACAGTAATTGTACTATAGTTCCATTTTGGCCCTTGACACCAAAATGCTGGGGCGCATTATAAAAGTTTTCACCTCATATTCAAAGTTTGTAGACAGTCTGAAGAGGAAAAAGAGGAGGAAGCGATGGGATATGAGAGAAAGACAGAAAAAAGACAGGAAGGGGGAAAAGCTCTAAACAGGAGCAGTGCCATGAGGAAAGACAGACAGATAGACAGACAGACAGACAGGGAAGGAGATCAAGATTTTGTCCCAAAAACATGCTTTTAAAGCTACAGCGTGCAAAAGTCTGCCTCTTGGTGACAATATTATCATTACAAACCCATACATGAATGCATTACCCTTCGTTAATATGAAAACAACAACGACAACAACAATAAGAAGAACAATAATGAAATCAAATCAGATAATGGTACATGTCGCCTTGATTTGAACCACCTCCTTAAACATTAAGGAACCGAGCTGTAGGAAGATCCACCAATAGGCTGCTGGACAGACTTTAGCTCCTCCCACTTCGGGAAGTAGCAGTCCCAGATAGTCCCAGCCTCATCCGACTGTATGTGCTTGTGTAAATGTGTGTGCGTGTGTGTGGGTGTGTGTGTATACTGTAGTGGTGTGTGTGTGTGTGTGTAAGAAAGAGAGAGAGAAAGGAAGCAGGCTGATAATAGAAAATTGAGAGAAGTATGAAGTGTTGAAAGAGTGATGTGTGTGATCATGTAGTATGTGTGTGTTTATTCAGAGTCGCTCCTTGGTGGGCACCCAGATGTAAGGACCAGACTGCTCCTCAATGACCTGCTTCACCTGCGAATACACTTCCTCTAGAGACGAGCCCTGGACTATAGCTGCAGACAGACAGACAGACAGACAGACAGACAGACAGACAGACAGACAGACAGAAAGAGAGAGATTGATATCCAAAAGATTTCCACCAAAGAGCATTTACTAAAACATATTACCAGTGTGTGTGTGTGTGTGTGCAAACAGGAACTATAATTAAAATCTCCATTAAAGGAGGAGTAACCTTTAAAGGTCAACGTCCGTGTATTTGAGTGTGTTCATTTGGATTTAACACATGGCCTACTACATGGAGTACAGCCATGTTTAAACCAAACATAAAGTCTTGTGTGTGAGGATGTAATGTACCACTTTTTTTTGTGGACGACTTGTTGTTCACTTTACATAAAACAGTTACACGTAGGGACATTGCAATCTTTGTTTTAATGCTTTTGTTAAAGGAATGTTTCAGCATTTTGGGAACTACAATTATTCTTTCTTGCCCACAGTTAGGTGAGAGGATCGATACTACTCGAATGTCTGTGAGCTACAGCAGGGAGGTGGGTTAATCACATGCCTACCGACACCTCAAAAACTCACTAATTAACACGTGACATCATGTTTGCTTACTCGGTAGACAAAATAATGTAAAATGTTTTGTAAAGTTTTAGAAGAAGTTATCCAAAAAATCTGATGAAAGTTTAAAAAAAAAAGGATTTTTGAGACAGCCAGGCTAACTGTGTCCCCCTGCTTTCAGTATTTATCCTATATAGGGGGGGTTAATTTTTTCTTTTTTCAATTTTTTAAAAAAAGCATATGCATAAGAGTGGTATCAATCTTATCTCACTCTTGGAAAGAAGGAAAGAAAGAAAGCTCACTTCCCAAGATGTCAAACCATTTCTTTAGTATTTGGTGGCCTATTCTCTCTGACTCTTTCTTGGTGCTGAGCTGTTAAATTCCCAGACTGTCTATCATGGAAAACTGACTGTGACTCCTGTTCCAATGTGAAGTCGTCACAGAAAATTCACAGATCATTAATGAGTTCGGACGCATGTGGGAAGGAAACAGCAGCTCGTGTTTATGTGTGTCTGTGTGGCAGTAACTAACCGGTAAAGTACTCAGTGAACTCCTGCTCCAGTTTGACGGCTCGGTCGAAGGTCTTCCTCGCCTGCTCCTCGGTGAAACGCTTGTTCATCTCTCTGCAGAGGCAGACAAGAGATTCAATATATCAAGGTACAGAACAAGAATGTAAAACCTCATTTTCATGACACTAAACCCTCAGCAACCTCTCTGGACAGCAGTCAAATGCGTGATGATAATTTACTTTTATTACACCAACACACTGTGGTCTTTATCGTTCATCATCATCGTCTTCCCTCTACCATGTTTTTATCTTCTAGTTCTTTTTTCTGTCTTGCCTTTGATTGGCCTTAGTGCCAGGTTGTTATATTGTCTTCTTGTTATCCTGTTTTTTGCTTTGTTTGTCTAACACTTTATAAACTCTGTTTTTAAAGGTGCTATATAAATTAGGGCTGCACAATTAATCGGATATTAATCGCGATCACGATTTTTTGGCTTACCAAAATTAAATGAATGTGATCGTCTACGACATTGCGTTTAAAATGTGTGCTCAATTCAGTTTCAGAAAACTCTACTGCATATCAAATCAAACTTCTTAAACTAACAGCCAGCCACCACGGGGGATCGAGATGTTACAGTTTCACTGTTGGGGAGCTGTCCAGTTGCTGCACGCACACCCTGCAGCTGCAGCCTGGATACTTTTATTGTGTGATTGTGTGAAATATTGATCAAAATAATTGTGATTATCATTTTGGCCATAATCCTGCAGCCCTAATATAAGTACAGTTATTATAATTATTAGTATTATTATAACTCTTGACTCCAACTATTGTTGTACTATATTGGAAGATAATAAGAGAATTTCATAGGTACATAACGGGAAGCAGGAAAAAACACTGGGATTGTTTAGCTCAAATACACAATGTTTTGATAATAATAATAAACCTTATTTAAATAGCATTTTTCTTAACACTATTACAGAGCGCTGTACAAAGGAAGAACATTAAAACAAAGCAAGGTAGATAAAATGACAATAAGGAACATGAGTATTGAATTAATAGAACTAGGCTATAGCGTGAATAAGAACAAATAAATAAGAATAAAAACATTACAAATAAAAATCTATCTCAATAAGATATTCTCAAAAGCTTGCACAAAAAGAAAAGTTTTAAGAAGAGATTTATATGTTATGATGGTGCTATTAATATTTACTTACAGGATGTTGTCGACATTGCGTGGTCTAATGAAGATAGCGATAGGATGTAGGCCTGCCATGTGGAGACGCTTTATCGCGTTTCCTGATACATCCAGTATACAGTGTTTACCCTGGGAGAGAGACAGAGAGTTGTTTCTGCTTCCTGTCTCCTTGTATTCATCCTTGTAGTCTCATTCTCTCTCTATGAACTTACCTTGTCAGCGACTTCTTTGACAGACTGTATGCTGGTTCCATACAGATGGTTGTTATACTGTCCAGCCTCTATGAACTTGTGTTCCTGGATCTCTCGCTCCATGAGCTCTCTGGAGGACATGAAGTGATAATCTCTGCCGTCCACCTCGTAGTCTCGTCGTGGCCGCGTTGTATCTGAGGATCATAGATTTTTACACAGATTAATTTTCACTGTATTGCTCATTTTTCATGTGCTGTTTTATAATGCGTGAATGTTTCTAAAACTAGCTTAGGCTTTAAATGTTATGGTATTTAGTAGATGCTATATACTTGTATCCTATGTCTCACTCTATATCCAAGTACATCTTATTTATTTACTACAAATATACTGCAGAAAAAAAACAAACTAATAGTCGATATGATTAAATCAAGATGGTAGTCTGACATCTGACTTCTTAGAAGATTGGGTAAAAGAAACTTTTAAGGCAAAATATGTTTGAGGATTTAAACTTGAAAGAAACTATAAAACATGATAGACTGATTTAATTTATTCATTGATTTTATCTTTTACTTTCTTTCTGGTTCCTGTTTTAATAGCTTTCATTTTCAAACTGTCTAAGAACAGTGAGAAAGGGTAAAAGTACAGAAGCTGTTCATCTCCAGTTAATATGTTGGTGCTTAGCTGAAAAGCTAAAGATGCTAAACATCAACCTCCTGTGAGATATTTTAGTTTTTTATAATGTGTCTGCAAACTTTAGTATTATTTTAGGGGTCGCTGAAGTTCATCACAAAGTTAAGACACTCACGTGGGACGCAGGAGCAAAACTTGTCAGGGAACTCGGAGATGAGATCATCGTTGACCCGATCTTTCATTGGTCCGAGCACGATGACTGGCCGTGTGTAATTAACTGGAATATGACAAAGAGAACCAGGTTGATAAACGCACACAAAGACACACAGTAAGTTGAGTTAAGCAAAAGCCAAAATGTGAAAATAAAAACTAATTAAGCCTTAAACATTTCTCCTTGTATTTTTGTATATATTAACCAAAAGTCAAATGACCCAGAATAAAAGACAATCAAACTATAAGGAGTTAATATTCAAACAATTCATCAGGTGGACGGAAACACAACTTCAAATAAATGTTAATATTGCTTCATGTCTGCCAGATGTGTAAACTGACATGTGGTTGCTTACATGTTATCCTTAAAAATTGTATAAGGTGATAATATGTCAGTGTTGTGTTTAGAGCTGGTTTCTGTTGCCCCCAAGTGGCCAAAACATCAAATAATGCAGGTTCAAGGTTGTGAAAAATAATCCAACAGTCTGAGATTATTTTATATATTCTTTATCAGCTTGACCCGATTCTTCTTCAGTGGGCTTTAACTTCTAAACTGGTTAGTTTTCTGTATAAAAACTGAAGGTACATTTGCACAAATGAACTGAAGAGTTTTACTTTATACATGAAAAAGAGGTATTTTGTGTATATGCTGTTGACTGACTTCAGTAATCAAACTTCCCAAGACTGAATAATATAAAAAGAAAACAAATGAACCTTGATAAAATAAAATAAAAGGATGCTGTGAAGTTGAGCACTAACCTTCCTGCTGCATGACAGGTTGGTATGTGAGGAGGGTCTCCTCCTGGCCAGCTGATTGGACAAACAGAAATGATGGACACATTTAGATGCGCAGTGGATGGGATTATTGACAACAAAACACACTCTAACCCTTTTCTACTTCTGGACTAAACTTCTTCAACAGCTCTGGAAGAAGATAAAGGTATCTTGCCCACACACACACACGCACACACACACAAAGACAAACACACACACACACACACACACACACACACACACACACACACACACACAAACACTCACATGCACATAAGAACACAATAATCACAACACAGAAATAGACATGTGCATGTATGCATGACAAACCTACAAGCGCACACAGAGAAACACACAGACAAACCAGCAGCAACATAAAGTGGCTGAGGTTTCAAAATAAAATATAAACTGAATAAGAACAAGCAAAGAAGGGAGAGAGAGAGAGAGAGAGAGAGAGAGAGAGAGAGAGAGAGAGAAAGAGAAAGAGAGAGAGGAGGGTCTAGACTTACAGGAACAACTTTCACTATCGCTGGTGCCAGAGGTTACCAGCTCTGGAAGGACAAGACAGGTCAGAGTCAGCAACACACACACATACAAACACATAAAAACAGACAAACATACACAGACTTACATCCTTTGTATGTCGCTCGCCCAATGACAAACATTCATATTTATAACAGAAACCATCAGCCACGCAGTAACATCTCATCCATTTTCTATATTCACTTATCCCATTCTATCTCAGCCAGCATGCATCATACAATACCTACAAAACCTACAGGACACAGTCAGAGGGATGTGGACACCTGATCACTACAGCCTCCAAAAGACAAAATAATTAACTGCTTCCTTTAAAATGTCTACTTTATTACATTAGGAAAGACACAACAAAGTCCAGAGGTTTCATCTGACAAACTGGCTTTGAAATATTCTATTTTCCTTGTGTACATAAAGTGGAAAGACTTAAGCGTTTTAGTATTGCACCTCCAAAAAGTTGATATAATATGTCATTTTACTTGAACTGAGCTGTGCTATTGCTGCTTTTACATAAATAAATTAGTTTTTTGTATTCTATTATAGAGTTTTTCTGAAAGTTACCACTTTGAATATTAACACAGCTTCTGGTTGCTGGATTCAAACTGTATGAATTCAAACTTTTCAGTCCTTCACCATACATCCTCCTCCTCCTCCTCCTCCTCCTCCTCCTCCATGGTGAAGGACGATCTTAGAGGTAAGATAAGGCTGGAGGTGAACGGTGCAGTAGTGTGAGTCCAGTTTGCTAAGGAGCTGACGTTACATATACTGACCAGCAGGTGTCACTGATGGAGAGAACACCTACCTTTATCATCCTGATCCTGCAGAGAGACAGGGAGAGAGAGAGCATTAATCATCATACTGTAGATGATCATAACAGTATCTTGACTGTTATCAGCAGAAGCCCTATTTGAAACCACTTGGGTTCTCCACACACACACACACACACACACACACACACACACACACACACACACACACACAGTTTGAGTGAGCAAGACTAATTTGCAGTCTTTCTCAAAGCACGGAGCCAAGGGATATAGAGTGTGTGTGTGTGTGTGTGTGTGTGTGCGTGTGTGTGTGTGTGTGTGTGTGTGTGTGTGTGTGTGTGTGTGTGCGTGATAATTTTTAATTATCAGCTCTTCACCGTGCAGAGTTGCTGATTGCGGAGTTGCTGATTCACATAGTGTGAGGAAAACAGAGAGCGAGCCGACAACACAGTGATATCAATAGCCTGTGTTAGACTTGCGTGTCAGCTCACATCACCACGCTGTGTGAAGTGTGATTGAAGTCACGTCCTCGCCTCGCCTGTGAACTCAGACTGCACCTTTCTGAGTCACAAATATCAAAGGAACAAAAAGCTAGTTTATGTACTTTTAATTAGTCTTTAATTAATAGTGAATCTGCATAAACTTTTTCCTAGCAACACGAGGCGTGGCTGCGAGTTACTTAACTTATTGTCATATGAGCTCTTCTACTTGTAAATTTGTTGATTTAACTCCAAAGCAGTCAAATTGTTTCTTCAGAGTTCCTGTTGCTCTGTAGATGAAAGCTGACAAACAGAATGGTATTTTATCTAGAAAATCTAGAGCTAATTTAAGACCAAAGCATATTTCTGAATATTTTTATATATAATAATTTTTAATCGTATTATTTCATAGTCAACAAAGTGACTAATGTAATAAGAGAGAGCAATAACCAGAATCAGTACGACACTAACAGTTATTTACCTTTATCTCTAGGTCTCTCTATATTAGCTCGTTCAGACTTCTGATGCTCAAGTTAAGGTCACTACACTGGCATAATAAAATATTATATAATTTAAAAACTTCAAAAGTGTCATTGTACCTCCACTATACCTCCAGTCTGTAATGCCCCTCTGTACAGCTACAGCATTTGATCCAGGTTGACATTGTACAATAGACATCTCAGTTCTGCCGACTCAGCTTATTGTTCCGGGAACATGATAAAGGTGATTTAGCTACTGCGCTGAACGGGATGTATCTGAAGCAAACTTCCGAGAGACTTAACTCAACATTTAAAACTTTAAGATAAGTGATAAAAACACATCTCTGCCATTGGTCTTAATTTACTTTAAGAGCTGCTTTTAGATCTGCACTATATATTTTATGTTCTTTACTTTACACTATGCTATCTTATTCTGTTAGTGGCTTACATAAAACAGTAATCTACATATGAAATGTGCTTTACAAGCAACGTTGCCTTGCCTTTACCAAACTAATCAAATACACTTTATCTTCTGAATTAATTTCCCACATATTTAGTTGTCATGCTCTCATATTAAAAGACAGTTTAGATGAGAAATGACCCCTATTAATAAATCTGTGTGGAAGTATTGTTTCTGCTACTTTGTTAACATCACGGTTATATATCATTACTTGACAGGTGAAAAACACTTTCTTCAGCACGACACAAAGTCAAACCTCCTTCTGCGCCTGTTTTAACAGCACCTCAACACATTCTCATTCCAGTTGTCACCTGTGAGCTGGGGATCTATTATTAAGGGTTGCATATGGCGTTCATGTTTTATGTTGTTAGAAGTGTCTTGAGGGTGTGTTTTGAGACAACGCATAATGTTTTACTGCAAGAGAACAGTACTCACCCCGTGGCTATTTTAACGGTTCACCACTTTAATTATTTGATATTAATTTGCCAATATTTACTTATAAACACCTGTTTTTCAAGAATGTGTGAATGAGGGAATAAGAGCACACTCTTAAAAAAGATGTAATCTGTTTAATCTGTCACCAACAACCTTTAGTCTTAATGTCATGGATGAAAAAGGAAAACTTGGACCTAATTTTAAGGTTTAAAAACCAGGTTGCTACTCACCGATCTGTCCTGAGACCTCGTCACTCTGACTGTCTTTAACCGCGACCTCTCCTTCTTCTCTGCCCTGTGAGATGTAAGGACAGGAAAAAAAAATACATGAAGAGAAGCACTGAGAGAGGACAGAAACAACACAAACAACTGAGTATAGATAGAAGCAAATACAAAGAAATGTAGCTGGCTGAATTTACTCCCTATCCCCTCTGTTTGAATCTGTGTTTATGTGTCGGTTTGTCAGGCACATCAGACATTATTTATTGCTTCATTGCATTCATTGTTAGTTTCATTAGTCAGATTACTGTGCTCTAGGCCTGTGAAACACAACAGTAAACAATAGGGGTGTAACCAGGCGAATGTGAACCCTATTTGCAGAGAGATTTTTCCTTCGGATCTCCTCTTATAGCTGGAAGACCAATCACAGAATAATGATCTTAAAACATTTGGCAACGTTTAAACTGCAGAACTACTTTGATCTCACAGTCAGTGTGTCAGATCTTTTCATATTTAAAAGGTAATTTTGCAGCTTACTACATTTGGATCTGTCTATAAGGAGCACTACGAGGTCTCTAATATCCAGATATGATGTAACTCAACAGTAAAGAACAGATAGCTCGTAAATATCCACTAATCCGAATGGGTTGTTCTTACTTTATAACAGATGCAAAGGGTTGAGAGAGTGAGACAGGACCAAAATACTTCTGCCATATGGTAGAAAAGACATTCTCTCTGCTTGCTCCTGCTAAGGAGACAGTTTTGTCTGCTAAGTTTAAATTTAGATTTGTCACTTCCTGTGCAGGGCCATTTCCTGCTGGTGATCATATTCAACACCAGAATTTCAAATAAGGTGAATCTCCAGTGTCACAGTTCAGGGACCTGTTTCTCTGCTGGAGCCCCATTTTATAATTTAGGCTGACAAGCCAGATGCGCTTTTAGACAAAGTCATTATGCATTATGTAGCTTTTAGCCTCCAAATGTCTGTAAACGGCCAAACAACAGTCACTGCAAACAGACCAGCAGCCTCGAGGTCCACAGCAGAAATTACAGCAATAACTAATGTAACGATGTTCGACGGCAGGCAATTGTTTGGTTTTAATCCCTGATGGAAGGCTTTAAAACACAACAATACCTTCATGTTTACCACACTACATTGGCAAATAAATTGTTTCTCCTTTCCTTTCACTCCTGAGTTTCTATAGTCACCTCCTCTTTCTCTTCTTTTTTCTTCATGCCAAATAACATGAATACAATTTCAAAGCAAAAAGCAGTGGTTATTTTACTGAAGAGGAAGAGGAAGAGGGGAGGGGGAGGAGAAGGGCGCAGGAGGAGAAAGGTGGAGAGGTGTGGGAAAGGAGGAGGGAAGGGGACGAGAGGAGAGGGGAGAAGAGAGGATGAGGACCAGGTGAGGCGAAGAGGAAAAGAAGAGGGAAGAGAGAAGGAGGAGAGGAGAGCAGACAGAGGAGGAGTAGAAGGAAAAGGAGAGCAGAACAGAAGCAGAAGAGGAGGAAGAGGAGGAGGAGAAGAGGAGAGGAGACGGTGGAGAAGTGGGGGAGAGGGGGGCCAGACATAACATGTGATATTAGAGGGCAGTAAAACGGCCAATAAAAATGGCGCTATTCTAATATCTTCTTTAATAACTTCATATATGGAAACCTCGGCTTGTGATAATTAGTTCAATTAGTCTTTTACCCTAACACAGTTATTCTATTACCCCAAATGCGTCAGTCTGTAACACCCCAAGTTCTCTCACAGAGCCTCTATTCTAACACCTCAGTCTATTAATACCCCACCGGCTAAACCCCTGTGTGACAATCTCTACATCCAACCCTCCCATGTTCCATTCCCATCCGCCATCGCTCACTCCCACTCATCTTGTTGCCTCCGATCCCTCTTATTCACATTTTAACACTCTCTCACTTTCTTTCCTTCCACTCCATCACTTTCCACATCCCTCCCTCCCTCCGTCCTCATCACCTCTCAGTGTCACGGACGGTAACAAGACTTGTTTCAAATGGTCTCCTCCCTCCCACCTCAAAAACCTATCAACATCTGTCTGTCACCTCCTCCACTGGGAAACAAGGGGGGGGTATTGCTCAGTTTCCATCACCACCTATATTCTGCAGATTCTACATAATGATGATGTCTGCAGTGTTATCAATGGTGGTGGAGGAAGTATTCAGAGCCTTTACTCAAGTACTAATAGCACACCGTAAAAATATTCTGTTACAAGCCTTAACTGTTACACCCTAAAAACCCTTTGAACTCTGACCTCCTGCGGCTGGGGATGACTCCAACTTCAGGGCAGTTTGGAGGCGGGGGGCTGAGGTGACGGGCGGGCCACCACTCCTCTTCGCCAGCGCTGCTTACATGGAGGATATCCCCGAAGTGAAACGGCAGGGCCTGATTGGGCGTGGTCAGATCTGACGCACTTCCGTCGTAGTCAAACAACGCTCTGCAGGCAGATGGAGAAATTTCATATTACACACATTTAGTCAAAAACACAATGATGGTGAGACAGTCCTGTCTGCTGGAGGGGGGAGAGACAGACATTTTGCATATCTTGAGCTATTATTTTTGCAAATTGCACAGTTTCTTCTTGATGTGAACAATTCAATTCAATTCAATTCAGTTTTATTTGTACAGTGCCAATTCATAACAGAAGTTATCTCTGGACACTTTTCAAATAGAGTAGGTCTAGACTGTACTCCTTTTAAAATTATTTACAGAGACCCAACGGTTCCCAATTGCACATTTTACATTTTACATATTTACTTTATTATAAAACATATTTACTTGTTTTGAACGTTTCTCTTGCTAGGCAAATATCAAATATTTCTGATTCTGGTTGTTGTATGAGTATGAAACCACCATACCGATTTTACAGTAAGAAATGTTATTGTTAATGCTATTCATGATACATTTCATATGCAATCAATCAATTTAGAAAAAATACAAAAAACCTTTGTCAGGATGCCATTTACATTTCTCACAACAACTACTGACAACGGCTTTACATGTGTAGTAAATGCTTCAAAATAAAGATCGGTTGTAGTAAATACGAGTGAAAACAGCTGAGGACCTCTTTCCTACACAATTAATTTATGACCTTGTCTGTGTGTACATGCCTCTGTGTGTGTGTGTGTGTGTGTGTGTGTGTGTGTGTGTGTGTGTGTGTGTGTGTGTGTGTGCGACTGTACACATGTGTCTGCGTACATGTCGGTCTGTTTGTGTGCATTTGTGTTTCACAGAGTTTCAAACCCATCCAGAGGGAAAAGACCCGGGAAAGTAGGCCAGCAATATGTGTGTGTGTTTGTGTGTGTGAGTGTGTGTGTGTGTCTGTGTGTGTGTGTGTGTGTGTGTGTGTGTGTGTGTGTGTGTGTGAGTGTGTGCAAAGGAAGTAGAGCTGAAATAACTGGCATCCCCTAAAGTCCCTACTGCCTTCATCAATAAAACAGAACATAGACAGAGAAGGAGAAACCAAGAGAGAAAATCAGACAGAGGTAGACGCAGAGAGCCCGACGTCAGAACAAAAACCACCTGCTCATGTTTTATTGATGTTTGATTAAAAATGAGAAAGGAACGACTTCCACACAGGTGGGCATTATATATTTAGCTGCTAAAATATGACTCTCCATCAGGCTGGACTCAAGACTAGACAGTAATAGAAATGTGATGTTATGACCAAAAGGTCGACAGTTCAGTTGGGATTTCACTGAGGTGGTACCCGACCTTTCAAAACTGCTGTAGTTAAACTTCTTCACTGTAAACATCAAACTGTACTGTGTGATCATTCCATCAAATGAAACTTCTAACTGATGTGTTAGCATGTAATCGCAGAAAACATCAAATTGAGTTTACATAAATGTTTGTTAGCAGTTTATTTTACAGGTATTTTATTTCATAATCATTTCTCAACAGTTTGCTGGAACAACTGATTTATTTTGGTTCTAATTACAGGAAAAAAAGTCCTCCAAATTACATCTTCTGAAAGACCTGTCGGTGCTCTCCAAAACTGTTACAACATAACATATTTTGCCACTCTACAACAGGAGCACTTCCTCCTTTGCTCCCCTTATACTACAGATGACAGAGGGCTTTAAGCACATGTTGTTTTGGGCTGAAAACTGACGCTCTCGTTCTTCTCGGAGGTCAGTCTTTAAAAGAGACAAAGTTATGAGACTTAAGTTAGCTGTGTTGAGTTTATTATTTGATTTGCTAGAAGAGAAACCACCTTGAAAGAACTACTCTTAAGAAATTATATAAGAATTTATAAGAAATTCAAATATTCCAAAATAGACATCAGACAGGAGGCGACAGTATGTAAAAGGTTACAGGATATCCTGAATATATGAAGTGCAGGGTTACATTTACATTAGGAGGTCCATACATGACAGAGCAGCTGTCAGATGCCCTTTACTTTCATTCCTTCCTTCAAATCAGTCATAGAGTAAAAAACTAACAGGAGCAATTTCATTAGTTCCACACATCCCAAATGATTTTACAGCTACAAGGTTAAAATGATTCATAGTGTGTGTCGTATAATTAAGGCCGCATCTATGTAAATGTAACTCTAAATCAATTACCTGTTCTCAGAATTACAGCCAGTTTAATTCCTGTGTGGGAACATCTGAAATCGAATTACTCGAGTGAAAGAACACAGTAATTACTGCAGTGTAATATTTTACACTGGCCGTATCCCAGAGTGTGTGTTAACCTGTGGAAATATACATGTGGTACAGTACTATATTGATGCTGTGTTTGCACAGCCAGCAGCAAAACTGTATTGCAATTTAATTTTGCCCTCAATATTGATTAAAGGTGTTTTTGCAATAATTTGAAATGTTTCTAAAATAGCACAATAAAAGGGTTCCAAGAAATACTGCAAACATCAGGTGCATGGCTGCATTTACATTAGTGGGTCCTCGCATACATACAATAAAGGTCAGCTGTCAGATGTGGGTGTATAAATAACCTTTCTTTCCTTCATAATGTCTCTTCACAAATAGTAAAAAAATAAGAGCAGCAATATTTTGAGTTCAACACTTCCCAAATTTATTTTTTAGCTAGCAGGTTACACTGATGGATAGTATTATTATTAAGGCCACATATAAATATAACTCTGAATCAATTACCAGCTCTCAGTGTTGGAGTCGTTTTAATTCCTATGTGGGAACTTCTGAAATCAAATTACTCGAGTGAAGAAACACAGGTTCATTACTGCCGGTTGTAACAAAAACAGCCGTATTTCACACACTGGCCTGCTGTGGAAATTTGCAACATTAAATATGATGGTAATGTTGTTTTCTGCACAGCCGGCAACCTATACTCATACTGCACTGCAGTCTAACTTTTCCCTGAATACTCAGATAACATTACTGCATATAAGCACTTTATTTGGAGGTGAATATGCAGGTTAATTCACTGGAATGCAACCATATGATAGTGCTGTCAAATAGAAAACTAAGTAATTTTATACTGTTATTTTATCTATCCTGTGTTGATTAAAGTCTCCCTCCACTCCAAAATATGTTGTTTTTTTCTTGTTCCTACAGTTGGATGTTTGAGCTTCACTGTGCAGAATGATGTATGAGCAGAGTTTGTTTTCACATTAATTTGCTGAAAGTGGAAAGTCTGTCTGAGCTCATTGAAAATCAAGTCAAAACCTGGTCCAGTAAGCAACTTAAACAAGTGTGATCCACCAGTGCACATACAAGGAGAATGCACTTTACAGTGAAGTAGGAGACATCTTGTGTCCAGCAGGAAAACATATTATATTATTATTCTTACATTATATTATATATTCATAGATTCCGAAATTTTGTGACATTTTTTAATGAGGTAAAAGGAGTAGATGACTTTTTAGGATATAACATATCAGACACACATTATTGCTCCTAGCAGACTATTTGTATCTTAATACAAGTCTGGAGGGGATCTTTAACATTTGTTGTTACCGTACTGTAAATTAAAGTATAATGTATTCTCAGTATAAAAGTCAAACCACATTCAGTCAACTTTCTCAAAAAGCCCTGAAGCAATTTAAAACCACAGTATTCAGTTACAAGAAGCAAATGTTCCAGAGCATTTTGCTTACTTAAAATGGAATTGATATCTGCAGCAGAGATCAGTACAGCCGAGGTTTTCACTGCCCAGTGAGAGACGAGTCTAAGCCTTCATACGGCTTTTAAACCCTAATCAGTGTTTCAGTGTTTTGTTATAAATCCATTGATCAAATACTCATACACTATAGGGATGCCAGCAGGGTCTAACTGAGTGATTATCAGGTTTGTTAGGCCCTTGAACCTTTCTTTAATGAATCTTGTAATGTAAGATTAGCAGCTAGATACGGGTATATAAAAAAAAACTAAAACAAATGTGAAGACGTTTAATGGGGGACTTTGGGGATGGGACTGTATCATTATTTTGTAGCTACCCTGCCTTTCCAGGTGGATCTTTACACATTGAATCTACAATTACAAAACCAAGCTATTGAGCCGTACAGTGTGCTTAAAAAAGGAAATGGTGTAAAATAAGAAGAGGGGAGGACACACACCCACCTTTCACACAAAGGACAGTCGTACATATGTCACCTTGTGTCAGTGACATTTCCTCTGAGGAAAGGTTAGTCTGTGTCTTATCCATTATACACATGCAGATAGTACATCCCACTACACACACACACACAAACACACACACACATACATACTCTATGTACATGCATGAACACACACAGCAGCCCAGAGCACACCCCCAATCTATCACGCACCAACAGCCTCACCTCGACCAATCAGTTGCCAGTCTGAGCGCTCCATTTTCAATATTGGATGCTGATTGGTCATTTATGGGCAGTAACCAGATACAGGAACTTCACGTATGACAGTGATTTATCACATGGGCCGTTGGGGGGTTGCTAAATTATTCTATATAACCTTGAAATGATCGTGGCCTGATTTTGACAAGACTTGAGGAACGTGGTCATTAAAATTCAGCATGTAAAGTGATTAACTTACAAGGAGGTGTCATGGTAATTATTTGACACATGCATATTTCCTTATTGAATCTGCATCATACAGTCATGTACAGAAAAATTTCAACTTCAGTGGTTCAGTGTCCACTAGGGCTGTACAATTAATCGAAATATTATCGAAAGCGCAATATGGCTAAGTGCAAATCATAGAAGCAATATGAGAGCTGCTGTATGTATGTTTTGATGAGGGTAAAATATGTGACAAAACACTGTAATGAAGTATTGTAGTGCTGCAGAGATACCCTGGCCTACAAATCTTGTCCTCCAGATTTAAGAAAGCATGTTTATTTGGTATAGACCCCCAAAAATTTCACATTTCACGCATGATTTTAATCGTTTCTTTAAGTGATGCAAAAATTATGATTCACACGCTAATCGTGAATCATATCTGTCAATATCTGTTTTTTGTTTAAGGTTAATTAGGAAATGTTAACATGCTGACATGCTAAACTAATACTCGGATGGTTCTGGCCTCCACGTCTTCCATTAATTCCTGCTAATGGACACCTTGTCTGGCATTATCCCTAGGCATGTTAACATTGGCACTGTATACATTCAGCATGCCAGTATGAACTCAAAGCATAACTGTGCTACAGATAACCTCATTGAGCTGCTAGCACAGCTGTAGACTTTTATTCTTATTATTATCTGTTTGTTCAGGTGTGAATTAAGGCAGAAGAACTTGTACTCTGCTTTCTTTCTATGGAACTCACTGCAAAATGCTTTAAAGCAGAAAAAGCTTGTTGAGCTTTTAACATTTGATGCTGGAGACTCAATACGAGCTGACTTTCATTTTGTTCTGGTCTGTGAATCTGTTGTTTTTGGTGTTGATTCTAATGACTAAAAACAACCATTCTTTTTTCTACATGACATTGATTGGATTTTGCTTATTTTTCTGTAATATATTTTTCTGCAACCATGTCGTAACTGCCCTCTAAGCCCGATCACCCTCTGAATGATTATAGTTTTCATGGCACCAAAACAAATATATATGTGTGTTTGTAGTGTAAGTTTTCTTGAAAATATATAATAAATATAATCCTCCCTTTTTGCAGAAAATTACATTTCTAAATAATAGCTAAATAAACTTCAAGTTGATTATTATTGCACCATTTAACTCAAATGTAGCTCAAAGTGCTTTTCACCATATAAAAACAATCAATGTATAAACATCGTGACCCAGGCATCGTCTGATTTAATCAAATGAGCAGTGGACAGGGCATTTCTCCTCGCCAAAACCAAACAAAACCACTGGGTGCAAAATTAAATTTATGCTAATGATAATCACGCCTATGGGTGACTACTTAAAAATTTAACAAGGGTGACGGCAAGCAGCTGCAATGTCATGTCTCCTCATATTTTTCTATTAAATCTACATTTCACAAAGGGATTTTTTTTTTTTAATGGTGGGTATGCCAAGTAGGTCATGTAACATTTTTACAAAGCAGTCTGGGTTCACTGACATTGACTTCAACACATTCTAAGAGATGAAATAAAAAGCAGAATCATATTTCAGTCACATACTCAATAAAACAGCAGGTTTAAGTCAGTCAGTCAGCTTTTTTCTCAGTCAGACGGATAAATCAGATGAGCAGTCTGTCTGATAAATCTCTGACACTTGTTGGACTACAGCTCCCACAGGGCTGAATGTGACCTTTGGCCTCTAGCTTCCTGTACAGATTGACCTCAGAGCTGCTCTGAGTGTGAGTCAGCCTGTGAGAGAGTAGTTCAAGGTGACTCTGACCCGGCTGCTGCTGCTGCCGTCTCTTCCTTCCAGGCCACTTGCACACAGTTCAGGTCAGATGTTCCTTCCATGCACAGTACTTGTCAGCTGTAGTTTCCTCTGATCTTTGTATTACTGGGATTTTTGCCCAGAAATAAAACAAAACACAAAAAAATAGTACAATACAATGTTTTCCCATTATGGTGATGTTACCAGTCTGTCACAATGTCCACCAAGAGCTAGTTTAGCTTTATTAAAATCCTTTATAACATATTTTGTTTACTATCTACATTGATAATATAATGACAGATATTGTATATTATTGTAAAACCATAAACCTCATTAGAATCTTTAGCTCCTTAACAATCTATTTTGCTCCTTTTTTGTCTGAAGACTGAAAATGAACACACAAATTAAAACGGTTCTTGAACCCTCCTGAACCTTTTCTTATCTAAAAAGTCAACCCGCCTTTTCGGTCTTTGACTGCTCATGGTTTTCGAGTGAAACACACATCTACAAAAAGCCAAAGACTTCTTAAAATCTTCAAATCCTTGCAGAGACTGTGGCTGATACAACCTAAAAACTTTCCTTGTCTCCTTCTAGCCTAACCAGTGGATTTAATCATTAGTGTGGACATTAGAGCTGCTTTTCCTGTCTTTGTTTTCCATTGTATTGATCTCCCAAGAGCTCCAATGTGACTTATCTGGTCCCGGCGACCTAGCGTTTAATCAATATTTCAAATGCTGTGATTCTTGTGAAGAAAGGATCTTAAAAGTGTAGGTGGTCTAGGACTGACAGTGCTCCTGGGCTCTTCAGAGGAAACTAAGGATGGACAGGGTGATTCAGAGAAGACTGAACAACCAGGACAGGCGAGGACAAGAATGACACAAGGACACAGGAACACACACACACACACACACACACACACACACACACACACACACACACACACACACACACACACACACACACACACACACACACACACACACAGAAATCGAGACAGCGGACAGGGTATGGACGTGTTTGTGCATTAGACAGTATTTGCCAGACAACCTAATTGTGATTTTCCATGTGATTACCTCTCTTTCAGCATCTCTCAAACACACAAAACCTAGACGACAGCTGAGATAAGACCTTATAGTAGTTGTGTCACACTGAAGGACACTAGACAATCAGTCACCTCTGTCTACTGTGTGTGTGTGTGTGTGTGTGTGTGTGTGTGTGTGTGTGTGTGTGTGTGTGTGTTACCTGACGTAAAGTGTGCGTTTCTGTGTGGAGCGGAGCGATGTGGAGCTGGAACTGACACTGCTGGTCATCATCTGTTCCCTCAGGTCATGGATCTTCGCCTCGAAACGACTGTACTCTACACACACACACAGAGACACACAAAGAAGACAAACATGGTTAGACCTCAGGTGATAAAAAAAATGCTTATACAAACGATTAAATGTCTTCCATCATTGCTCAGCAGCTCAGAAACCACATGACAGTACGTAGATCAAAGAGAAGAGCAGAGGCGTGGAGGTTTTTCCACGGTGACAACCACATTTCCTACAAATCGGTGTAGTACAACAAGTACAACGTGTATTTTGAGATGTGATGAAAGTTGCAGGAAGTTTATTTTCCATGTTCAAGCGCAAAGGGACCTATTACACACACAAACACTCATGGACATGCAGACGCAAGCATTGAGCTGTCAACAGATTCTCTACAGCCATAATCTAATAGTCTGTTTGATCTGAATATTAACTCCTGTTACATCAGACCCGGTCCATGTCAATATCATCATGAAGACACACATTTACACAATTATCCACACACATGCAGCCAGTTTGACGCTAACACACTGACTCAGACACATCACTTGAGCTCCTAAAAATCTCTTCATGCAAAATGTGTATATATACATAAATACTGACATTATAATGTATTCATTAAGATGAATTTATCACACAGTGCATGCCCATGAACAAAACCACCATTCATGAATCTTTCTGCTGATATTTTGCACAAATGTACGTAGCTAGGTAGCTCGATAGCTTGCTAGCTCTTTATAAAGATGACATCCCCTTTCTTAATCCTGAAGCTCTGATTGGTTAGTTGTTTCTCTCACCAGCACCAACAGCCTTCAATGGGCTCTACAGCAGAAACGTTTGAATTGCTGAACGAATCTGACATGTGGGCAGTGATTCAGAGGTCTGGGACGATCAATGTCTTTTAGTCTTAACCGTTTCCGACATGGACAGCTAGAAATGTTAGACACATCTGACTTCAGCTGCCGACATGTTGTGTTCTAGGTGGAAAATCGGCCACATTATACATGCACACTGAGTTCTCAAAGTTCAGCAGTGGACATCACTGGTGCAGTGTTCTCCTGGAGTTATTGGTTAGCTCATATTTGCTAATTGGCTGGAACACAACTAACCTACTGGAAACACACAAAAGTAAAAATGACTTAGCACAGCAACTTTAATACTGCAACCAAAGAACGTGAAGGCTTATTTTTTTTTCTCAAACCTGTGCAAATCCAAATTTCACAAACGTATTTGCTAATGGTTTGCACAAATGCAACAATGAATTTTCAAACAGCCCTTTCACTTTAATTGCCAGGAACAACTGTATCCCCATCTCACTTGAATGACAAGTAGTAAATTGCGAGAGAGCAACCGGTTGGCCAATCAATGCAAAGTGCAATGACACACTCAGCATAGCAGCCCTGTGCTTTAGTATCCTCTTGCTACATGCTGCAAAAACCCTTAAGTTTCTGACCCATTTTTTCTAGTGGCCATAAAAATGCCACTGTGCCTCTTTAATTATAAATGTACATTATTTATGGAAATGCACAAAGTGGAAAAACAAATGACATAATGTGATCTCTAAGTTGCATTTCAGGACAATAGTCTTCCAGCAGAGAAAGTACAAACATATACTTTTAACCAGCAGATTGCTGTCTCAAAATGAGAGTAAAGTGTGATATTTCTCATTCAGAGTGGCTCGACAAACAGATATGTGTGTAATAAATCCTTACTGACTGTCCTCTAGTCTTCTTAACACCACCCAGCTTCCCAGAAACCTCTGAACTAACACTCGGATGACAACGCCGCTGGCAATAAGCCTGAAAAAGCCTATCTGAAGGATGTCCCTGTGTGTGTGTGTGTGTGTGTGTGTGTGTGTGTGTGTGTGTGTGTGTGTGTGAACCATTACTGTGGACTACAGAATCTAATTAACCCTGAGTAATTCAATCATACTCGAGGTACACACGGTCACGCACCCACCCACCCACACACACACACACACACACACACAAGATCTGGAACCTGCAGTATCTCCTGACATTTCCTCCTTTTTTCCCTACTTCTGTTTTTATTTCTTTCATCACCTTTTTTTCATAAATGCTCAGCTTTTGAACACTGTCAGAAAACCAGCCTACAACCCCCAGATCTCAGCTCTGATTTTCCCCAGGCGTTCATTAATCTGACACACTGAAGCTCACAGACACAAACAACTAAACTCTACTAAAACGGCTCAAAGCCACGCGCATCTGAAATCACTGAAATACTCAGGGTAACATAATGTTTGATGCTTTTATTTCAGTTAAAAAAACAGCATTGATGTTCTGGGAAAAGAACTTTGATAGATTTATATATCTTGCAACATTCAATGCTAAATGTGATTTTCATACAGCATGACCTAGGTTTGACAAGGCAAAACGCCCTCCAATCTTTCCAATGAGAGGATAAAAATTCCTTTTTGCTGAAAATTTAATTTCTTGCTTCAACCTTGAATATTTTTCATCGCTGACCTCGGTCCAGCATTTTCAATCTCAGCTCTAATCCATTAAAAATTGGTGGATTAACACTTCTATTTCAGTTGGTTTCACTGGACTCACTGCACCACGGAGGGGTCACACACATGAAAAACACCATATACTGTATGAACTTTCACATCATCAGCATCTAACTGTCTCTGTCAACGAACATCATCTCAATGCAGCATTATGGGATTAAGAGGAAGAGAGAGAGGCAGACAGGGAGGGAGGGAGAATACAAGACAGAATGAAGGTGGACAGAAAAGAAAATGAGAGGAAACAGATTAATAACTGAGTGGGCTTCAATGTGTTTCAGTAAACTCACATCTGATACAGTGAGATAAGGAATAAAGGTTTATCAATGGCAGACAGTCTTGAAAAGAGAGAGACACAGACAGAGGTACTGTAGGGCTACAGAGAGATGTTGCTCCTCTTTGTGATCCATAGAAACAAACTGTGTTGCAGCTCAGATATTATTGTTATTGAGTCCCGAAGAGAAAGACAAAGCCGGCACTGCCAAGGCTGCAGCTCTGATATCTTCTGCTTTATGACCAGGCACAGTGCTGAAAAGTCAGAGCTGCAATCTTGATCATCTTAGTTTAAAAAAAAAACAACAAATCTAGCCATACAGCAAAAGTGCCACAGTAAGAGAAAAAAGCAACAGTAATGGAAGTGAGATTGTTGATACTAAACCACAGTGAGGGTCATTAAACCAAAGACAGCGTAGGAGCAAACATGTTAATGCTGCATCACTGGTCATGAGAGGGATAACGGTGTCAGAGCACCCCGGATTCCCCACACAAAGTCTGTCTTTTTCGGTCCAATATTACCTTTAGCATCATTCCCCAACACACTCAAAGTCCCTGAACTAAAGCAGTGTTAAGGGTTGAAATGTTATCCATAAACAGTGATGCCAGACTGCTACTTGAGGCAGGATGTTAACAAGTAAATCAGTTCAGGTCTGTCTCTCCCAACTCCCGCTCAGCTGTACTCACATGCTGCAGGCAGACAGGCAGTCTCAGTGTCCGCACGATGGGATGCCGGTACGGTGGCTTTCGGAAGTGTCTGTGCGTGTGGGAGAAGGGTTTGTGCTGCTTAGAGTCCCGGGATGTGAATGGGATTGGAAAAAAAAATCAGAAAGAGAGAGAGAGAGAGAGAGAGAGAGAGCAGATGTGTGTGAAAGAGAGAGATGATGGAAAAGATCTAACACCAGCGTGTGAGAAAGCCAGAGCAGAAAGATATAAATGTCTGTGAAAAGAAGTGTGTGTAGGTATGCAGTAGTGTGTGGCACAGAGAGGAAATGTGTGTGTGTTTGTGTGTGTATGTGTGTGTGTGTGTGTGTGTGTGTGTGTGTGTGTGCAAAATCAGTCCAGTGCCGCTCAGCTGCCACAGAAACAACAGATGCTAACTCTCTCTCTCTCTACTACACTCCTCTCTTTCTCTATCTCTCGTTCGCTGGTGCGCTCGTTTGCTCCTCCCCCTCTTTGACAGCAGCCTGCTGTAGGGCGGAGACACACACACACACACACGCTCATACACACACCCTCACCAACAGACTCAGCAACAGACACACACACTGTTTCCTCAGGTCACTCATGCAGGAAGCTGAGTCGATGCCAGGCTCTCCTGCCCTACTTTGGCCCAGGGAATCGGTCTACACGCCACACACACACACACACACACACACACACACACACACACACACACACACACACACACACACTTGCTGCATTTTGAATATTGATTTTTGGGAATCTTAATCAACAACTAAATTAAATGGATTTTCCATTAGTTTTATATGGAAAGAGAGAAGAAACATAAGAAGAGAGACAGTGGCGTCTGCCTTCATAAGTATAAGGAATTAAACCCTTTCGACTCTGCATGATTTATGTTTGTATGAGCCTCCATCTGTCTCTCATTCTCTCTCCAGATTTCTGACTTTTCTATGTCTGATATCTGTTTTTCTCTCTTCCAGGGCTTCACTTGTAAGAAACCTTGTTCATATATATAAAAATGTAAACAATTCAAACATTTTTATCATGTAAAAGTCAGGAGGTTGTGCTATAGGCTTCTATAATCCCATCACACACTTCTATCTCTGCCTCTTTATCTGGACGACAAACCTAACCCAGCAGCGATACAGCAACACACACATCGAAATCACCAGATATGAAGTTTCACATCAGCATCTAACTGCCTCTGTCAACACACATCACCTCAATGCAGCATAATTAGATTAGGAGCAAGAGGGAGATACATAGACAGTGAGATGGAGGGAGAAAACAAGACATAATAGAGAGAGGGACAGGAAAAGGGTAGAAGAGAGGAGGAGGAGGATGAGGAGGAGGAGAGGAAGAGATGGGGGGAAGGGTGATGACAGAGACTAATGGCTCTGGGGCTCATATTCCCTCCTTCCTTCATTTACCTCTCCTCTCCTCTCCTCTCCTTTTCTCACCTCTCCTCTCCTCTCCCCTCCTCTCCCTAGAGGAGCATTGTTCCTCCATTCAGCAGCTGGCAGACCTTCTCTGCATTGTGCAGTTTCAGTGCTATCCAAC